GCACCCAAAAATGGACACTCCCAAGATCACTAGCCACTCTTGACAATCTTGGCCTATCCCTCTCTCTCTTTCTCTCTCCCCATCCCTTTCCCCACCCCTCACCCAAACTGGGAACCTGACCTTGAGATTTCAAGCTTAGGGAGGACTGAATTAATTTTAACCCAACAATCAATTATGGATCCCATAATAATGCAGCTCAGGACACCCTTTCTTGGGCTAGAGAGGTTAAACTGACCTCATTTTTTAAAATAACCCACATTGCAACAAGGAGAAGTTGGCTGACCTTTGCTATTGAGATTAAGTTTATCTCACTTGTCAGCAAGCCTATCTAGATAATAATTACCCAAGTCAAAATTCATTCAGTCAAGTCTTCTTTCTTTTCTAAAGAATGTTCTTCTGTATGGTATAACTGAGTATAATAAAAGAACCTAAAGCCCCCAAAGGATTTGCAGACAAAGGATGTAAACACTCAATAGTGGTGTTAGCATTGTGATCAATCAATTATTGTAAACCACTTACAACAAATATGAATAGGGGCTTGGGTTTGGTTTTCCAGACTCATGAACAGCAATTTATTTGAACAGCCTTGAGATAATCAGGTTAGAGTGAAATCCACTGTAGTAAATACCAAGATGAGACAAAAATGCTTCTCTAAAGCCTGGTCTACACTAGGAAAACTACCAGTTGCTGATGATGGGGCCTACACTGGGGAAATTTCCCCCAAATTCTAACTGCTTTAAATCTGGTTCAACTCACCTGATTTTACACTGCCCTGCACTGGAGGTGCTTGTAGAGTATGTCAAGCTACATACCGCAGTGAAAAGCCTGCTGCGTCCACACTATGGAGTGTAGCTACACGGGGCAGTGAAAGGCTCTGGCAGGGGAAGACAGCAAGGAAAAGCTTCAGCAGCTCCCTGCTGCCGGAGTCTTTTCCTACTGCCGGAGTCTTTCCCTGCAGCGGGCAAGGGTCCAGGAAAAGACTCTGGCAATAGGGAGAGGGTGGGGAAAAGCTGAGCCATGCCACCACATCTTCACAGCTATTGCTGGATTAAAGTTAACACAGGTATGCGTACCCAGCCCCCACATGACAATCACCACTTAACTTTGCAGTGAAGACACACTCATAAGCAGGCCTTGGGTGTCAGGGCTGAATGAAATTGAAATGGGGATGGACACATCGTAGTTCAAGCAGAGGCGCTGGAAGACTTTTTACAGTGGGGGTGCTGAAAGCCAGGGATCCCCAAATGTTTTACTTCACACCCACCCCTACCCCTGTCTGTGCCCTCTCCCCAGAGCTGGGGCCAAGACCAGGCCATGGCTCCGGGGGGTGGGGAGGACATGGACAGGGGTAAAGGGGCTGAGACTGGGACCACAGCTGGGATGGGAGCAGAACTCTGGGCGTGGGTCCTGCAGCCGGGACTCCGGGTGCAGGGCCAGGAACAGAGCCCCAGGCGTGGGGCCGGCAGCCAGGACCCCGCACAAAACCTGCACACCTAGTTCCCACGCCTATGAGTGCAAGACTAGAGCAGGCTTTAACCATGGTTTCAGAAATCTGTCCTAGTCTACACTTGAAGTTCGACTGATTCACTAGGATTTGTACCTGTCACAATTTAAAACACTATCTGTCAGATCCTGGTGTTTTTACATGGCCCTTTCTCAAGCAGAAAAGGTTTGGGCCATTGGCTTCATTTGGCCCCGCTCTGCTGTCTCACTGGGATCTGCCCATTGGGTAATGAAGCCAAATCTCCCAGGGAGTGGCACACGCATGCAAGGTCCCTGAGTGCAGGATGTTGTAAATGGATCTCAAATTGGCTGAGAGGCTCGTTAAAACTCCTGCGGCCTGGCAAAGCCCTGGTGACTCAAAATCCACATTTTGTCCTCCACCGACGGGCAGAAGTGGGTGGGAGTTTGGTGTCAAAATCAGAGGCCGGGCCTAGTCAAACACCATAGGTCCTGGAATACTAGTCTTTCCACCAAGAGTGAGTAATAAATTACACCCAGGAGACAGCCTGTTTCTGATAACAGTCTACCAACAACACATGCAGGCAGGGCTGCAACCTCTTGCTTCAGAGTCCATTTGGGGGATCCTCTCTCACAAAGAAGACAGGCATGCATAAATATTAGCAGCATTTCTTATCTACCAAGCACTCTTGGTGTTCTCACCCCTGCTCAGTGCAACATGTCCCCTGCCCAGAGGGGCTCATTACTTGAATTACGCAGAGGGCCAGATGCCCTGAAGCTGGCTGGAGGAGGTGAAATGGGTCCTGGTCATGAGTGGGTGGGATCGAACCTGAGACCTCTGAAGCTAAATCCATGAGCCTCTACTGCGTGAGCTAAAAACCATGCAGCTCTTAGCTAAGGCTGTAGAGCAGACTCATTAATGTCTCTGTAAGTGGTCTCGGTCGCACTAGATGGGACAGAACACAAACAAAGGCACCCGTGAGAGAAGCGGGTTCTGTGGCTATTGTTTTGTGCAGGTTTGTGTGTGTGAGAGAAAAAGAAGAAAGACCAGAGAAGCTGAGAGAGAAGGCAGCAAGGAAGCAACAGACAAAGCCTGAACAAGAACTGGGAGCATGGGCTTGAGAAAAGCCGAGAGAGACCGAGCTTTTGGGGCTGAGAGCTGGCTGAAAGAGGTTTGGAGCTGTGAGAAAAACAGCTGGTTCCCGTGGTTTGATTCGTCCTGTGTTCAGGGAAACAGGACTTTGTACATAAATAGGATTGCATCAAAGATACCTGTCCCCATCATCAATTTCCTATTGTAACTGGAACAGCCTGCAAGAGTCCAGGTTTTTAACTAACTGCTTGGGTCAAAAGGGCTAACACAAAGTTTACCCCAGCAGATGCTAACTGGATTAATATAGCCCAGACAATGCCGCTCAGACACACGCTGTGATAAACCAGCTGAACAAAGAAAGGTCTTGTCGCAGACAGTGAAGAGTTATGGATTTCTTTAGCAGGTCATCCCTGAAAGGCTTAATGGAAGCTGTGAGGTTTAAGGAGGGGTTCAGATGAAGCAAATTTGGTCAGTAGGGCTGGTTGGAAAATGGGGTTGTTTTCTGTGCAAATGTGTGACTTTTCATTGAAAAATTGAAAATTTTTGGCTGAAAATCACAAAATTGGGGTTTTTGTTTTTTTGATTTTCGGACAAAAAAAATTAGAGGGAAGCAAAAACTTACTGCACAAATGTACATTGAGTCAACCCTTCAATTTTCCATAGAGAAAAGTTTTGATAGAAAATTTTTCCTAGCCCTAATGGTCATCTAGTAAACAAGGAGACTCTTCTCAGCATAAGGAGCAACAGGGGTGAGAATGGAAGATGGAAAAAGCAGAGAGTAATTAGGCTGGTGGCTTAGGGAGAATGACAGAAATCCTCAGGGGCCATAGGAAGAGATGAGATCAGAGATGGAGTAAGGAGCAGAGCTGGGCAGAGCTCTAAGGGTGACAAATGGAAGCCTGGATTTGATGCACAAACCAGGCAGAGACCAGCCAAGGGAGGATGATTCCAAGCAGTGAGGAGGATTTTGACAGCAGCATTTTGGATGGATGGATCATGCAACAGTTCAGCATGGAGGTTGCTGCTCATCTCACAAATTATGCAGCTTTTTAGAGAGACTAATATGCAGATCTGGCAGTGGAAGGGGGCAGGGGGCGGGGAGAGAAGGGGGAGTCTACGGATGGCTTGTTCCTGTTTCTTTCCCCTTGCATGTAGGTAGCACATGGCATTATCACCTCCGCTGCCATCACTGATTTAGTGGCAACTAGCTCTTTTGTTCATAAGCTCAGCCTGGATATGGAGACAAAGGCCAGTGATCAAGCTTGGATCTGAAACAACATTTTTCCAAGTTGGATCTGGGGTGTTGGTTCAGACTCATCTGTATCTTCGTTGACCTATTGGAGGACGGTTACGTTTTTTTAATACTATTGTGAGATCCAGGGATAGCCCTGGATTGCAACACAAGTTGCAGTTACACTGATGCTGCCAAGCATTACAACCGGGTGATATGTGTAGCTGCTGGACCACAACCATTGCTCTTTGTGCCAATATGTTGGGAAGAAGAAATGAAAATCCCAGCGTCTCACACAGCACCACACTCAGGTGTCAAAATATCTTCCCAGCTGCCCTACTCTCTCTAACGTGTTTCCAGAGCTCTAGTCCAGGGGTTCTCAAACTTCATTGCACTGCGAACCCCTTCTGGCAACAAAAATTACTGCATGACCCCAGAGGGGACTGGAGCCTGAGCCCACCCAAGCCCTGCCGTCCCGGGTGGGGGGGCCAAAGCCAAAGCCTGAACCCCGCCACCCTGGGTGGGAGGGGTCAAGTTGAAGCCAAAGGGCTTCAGCCCCAGGTGGGGGGGGGCTATAGCCTGAGTCCCTGGGTGGGAGGGGCCAAAGCTGAAGCCAAAGGGCTTCAGCCCCAGGTCGGGGGGCCTGTAGCCTGAGCCTTGCTGCTCAGGGCCGAAGCCAAAGCCAGAGCCCTGCCACCCAGGGCTGAAGCCCTTGGGTTTCAGCCCCGGGCAGTGGGACTTGGGCTTCAGCTTTGGTACCGGGCGGTGGGGCTCGGGCTTTGGCCCCAGGCCCCAGCAAGTCTAAAGCCAGCCCTGGTGACCCCATTAAAATGGGCTCATGACCCACTTTAGGGTCCTGATCTGCAGTTTGAGAACCACTGCTCTAGCTGGTTTGAATCATTTGGGTTTTTTTTCTGACAATCAGCAGGCAAGATCTCTCTGCATTTTTTTTCATTTCTTTGGTTTACAGATGCTGCTTTGTATTTTGTTACATCTGTAATTCTGTGTCTTTATCAAAAATAACCTACCCCCACTTTGTAAACCTAGGTCAGCAGCTGAGGGCAGTTTATCACTGACCATTGCTCAGTCATATGTTAATGTTTGAGCAAGGCCATAAAAGAATTACATCATATTACCTCTGACCAACTTTCAAGGCAATGAATCTTTACAAAGCCCAAGTGCTGGTTATTGACAAGCTACATTCTCTGCTGACAGGGCCACAGAGAACATCTCCATCATGAGCTTCAATGGAAAGTTTGAACTCCAGTCCCATGAAAATTTTGAGCCTTTCATGAAAGCCCTTGGTAAGTATTAGATAAATGTAACTACGTTTAGTGTGTGTTGCCTCTGTCTATATGTAGTGTCCAACATTGGTTAAAATTAGTCTATTGCTTGCAGGCATTCAGGATTTAGATGAAAATAATTTTAATTTCTAATATTGAATGTTACTGTCCTTAATTTTTACACATTAATATGTTTTAAAAATACATAATAGTATACATGTGATCTTGTGCATTCGTGAAAAGAACACATAATAGAATGAGTCTCTCTCTATGATTGATATGTAGGAAACACTGCATAAAATTCTCTGCCCTGTATTATGCAGGAGATCAGTCTAAAATACCATAATGGTCCCTTCTGCCCTAAGAGTCTGCGGGCCAGATCCTCCTCTACTGCAGACCGGTGTGAATTTCCCCCTAAGTCAGTGGAGGTATGCCAATTTACACTGGCTGAGGAGCTGGTCCTAGGAATCTATTAAATGAATCTCTGTTGATTTTGCCTTGACTCTGCTAATCTGTCACTGTGTTCGTTTTGTATGGAAGCTCTGATTCAATTGCTTGCCAAGAACTAGATAAAATGGGCCACTTATTTAGGTGCCTGAAGGTAGATTTAGGTGCCTACTTTTAGACACTCAAGTTTGAAAAATGTTGGCTTACATTTTCAATCACTTTCTAACCAGGGATTGTATTTTCTCCAGTCTCATTAGGTATTCATCAGTGATTTGCTGTATCATTTCTTCCATGTATTTTGATATTCTTTTTACCTTTCATATGTACAATTGGCTTAAGGATTTTGAGGGATCCCAACCAGGATATTCTTGGGGTCCCTATTCCTCCCACATCTCCCACAAAAACTCCTGTCTTCTCCTCTCCTCCATCCACTTTCTTCTGCTTGATCTTTTCTTTCCCCTTAGATTTTCAAGGTGGGGGCGGGGATTGCATTTCTTCTCTTTCTAACCAGCCATGTAGGACAGGGGACAAATCCTTGGGTTGGAAACTTTCCCCAGACTCGACTATGAATGACATTGTTCATTGCACTCAAACAGCAGCCAACCGCATGGTCCTATGTTAATGTAGGAAGTGTTCCTCAGAGTGTGTACCAGTCAAGGAGCCCTCTCAGCCGTGGATTTAACAGCCCTGAAAGCTGGCTTTGTTTGTGTGGCTTCCCCATCTGCCCCAGAAATAGCGCTTCTCAGAACGCTCGCTAAGCCTAGTCTTTTATTTTTGGCCAGGTCTTTCTGATGAATTGATCGAAAAGGGCAAGGACCTCAAGAGCATCTCAGAAATTGTGCAGAATGGCAAAAAGTTCAAGGTCACCGTGACAACTGGCAGCAAAGTGCTGACCAATGAGTTCACTATTGGAGAGGAGGCCGAGCTGGAGACCCCCACTGGAGAGAAGGTCAAGGTAGATGCCTGGTCCTCCCTTCGTGTAGGGCTGTGGGTTGCTGAGCATCTCCTGTGGGGTGCTGAGTGCCCTGAGAGTGCTCAGTCCCTTGGAAGGGGCCTTCCACAACTTGCAGGATCCTGCCCTGACACCGCATCCCAGCTACACTATCCCACAGAAAGGGCTGAACTGACATTGCTCCCAGTACACGGCAGTTGATTTCTAGTGGACTTGTAGCACTTTCTTTCCCTTTCATCTAACCCAGAGGTGCCCCAGATTTGCTCAACTAATAGCCACACCATCAGCTTGCCTGCAGATCTGCAAGATGCATCAAAGCCCATAACTGCTGCTGGGCTACATTCTCTGCTCATGTAAACGGGGGCAGCTCTTCTAACTTCAGTGGGATTGCACCCATTTACACTGGCAAAGAATTTGGCCCCTGGTGTGTAATAGGGATGAGTGGCCCTCAACGATTAGAGCTCCCAGCATACACATGGATCAAAATGGAGCACTGCATGCTGGGACCTGTAATTGCTGTGGCTTGAGTCCCAGATAGTAAAGTTTAGGTGGCCATGGATTGTAGTGTGTAACTTCATGGCTTGATCCTGGCTCACAGCTTGGCCGTGTGTGATTTATTGTAGTGGAGGGGAAGTAAAGCTCCACACAGTAGCCGAGGGAAGCATTGCACAATGGAGAGGACGTCTGGCCACTTGGGGGCCATGCCGTGCTCTGCTTTAGACAGGACGTCAGCAAGTCTCTTACGCAGCCCGTGGCAGTGAGCCTCTGAGCCCAGGTCACCACACTCAGGCTCACTTGGCTCAGTCACACCAAAGCGCTAAAACCAGCTGTGTAGACGATGCAGCTCGGGCTGGTGCTCAGGCTCTGAAACCTAGGGATGGGTTGGGCTTTAGAACCCAAACTGCAGCTTAAGGGCGCCATCTACCACAGCTATTTTTAGCTCTGTGGCATGAGCCCGAGTCTGTCGTCCTGGGTACGGCGCTCACTGCCGCGGGCTGCCATTGGCTGTGTGTCAGCAAAGTTTCAAAAGTGACCTCGAATGTTGGGTGCCTCTGTTTCTAGTGCCCTATTTTAGAGCCCCAGGGCTTAATTCTCAGAGGTGCTAAGCACTTTCTATTGACTTCAGTTGGATGTGTGGCTGCTCACTGTTACTAGATTCCGACTTAAACTCATCACTTGGCACCTCTGAGAATCAGGCCTTGGAGTTCTAAAGTTAGATGCCCAAAACTATAGGCCGCCCCTGAAAATGCGGGCGGTAGCCTCTCTTTGCCTCAGTTTCCCCGTGTAACATGTTCGAGAGCCACAGATGAACAATTCTGTAAAAGTGCTAAATACTGTACTTTCAGACTAGCCAGCTGAATCGGGTTTGACTTCATGTGGTCTGTTGCATTACAAAAGAGACATGGAGTTCTGTTTTATTTTTAAAAAAGGGGATGATGAAATGTGGGAGGAGATGTACAGTCATAAAACAAAAACCTTCCCTCTTAAAGAAGGAACATGCACAGGCTCTTTGGCAGCTCTGACTGCTCCTTCCTCTGCCCTTGTTTGCATTTGGTGGGTGATTGTGGAATTGGGGTTCATAGCTCTTAAAACTGGATGGTTCCTGTTCCTGGAAGGAAAGGGACAGATCCAGTGGTTCATTTAAAACCCCAGTATTGGCAAATCCTGCCCCTCACCTTATTTATCTCATCAGCAGGTAGCTTTCTAGATCTTCTGAAGACTGGAGGAATTTCTCTGTCACCTGAAATAGCACTGCAAGGCTACACACCTAGAGGTCACTGATATCCCACACGTGTTGCACTAGGGATAGCATCATGAACTTCTGGAGCAAACCACAGGCCACCAGCACTTGAGCTAAAGGAGAATTCTCTGCAAGTGTGGCTATAAGAGTTTTACCTTCTATATAATAGCCACTAGGGAGCATGTAGGTTGATACTATTTGTATTATCATACTGCCTAGGAGCCACAGCCATGGACCAGGACCCCACTGTGCTAGGCACTATACAAACGTGGAACAAAAGGTCATTCCCTGCCCCAAAGAGTACAAATCTAAGGAGGTAGACAGATAAATAATGTTTTCCTATTGAAGGGGTTTACTTGTGTAATTTCAGTTAGCAGTAATGTTAAACCACTTAGGACTTGTCTACACGGGGACACCTGGGAAAGTTAGTCTGCAAGAACTAAAGGTGTGAATTTGAAATGGATTAGTTACACCGCATTAAACCCCCATGTGAACACCCTCATTCAAAATGATAGTGGCCTTAACTTGATTTAGTTTACTTCCAAAGTGAATTAAACTAAATGGAATTAAGGCCACTTTTAATTCTGAATAACAGCATCCACACAGGGATTTAATGTGATTTAACTAATCCACTTCAAATTCACACCTTTAGTTAATTTGGAGTCTTACACTTGCCTAATGTATCTAGTAATTAGACACGTGAGCGTGCAAACTGGTCTTTATTCCACAGGCAATAATGTTCATGTCTCTCTTCCCCCCGCACCCCCTCTCTTTAAGGCTGTTGTTCAAATGGACGGTGACAATAAACTGGTCACGAACTTGAGCAAAATCAAATCTGTCACTGAAATAAAGGGAGACATAGTCACCAATGTAAGTACATGAGGTTCTATATAACATTAGAAAAATGTCATCACTTATAGCATGAGACCACAGTGGGAGTTTTTAATGGAGACCAGCAAGAGCAAGTAGCTATCAGCATAGACCCACTGACCCAAAGTACTGATTTATACATTGGGCCAGAACCTCTGCAGGTATCAGTCAGCATAGTTCTACTGATTTCAGTTGAGCTATGCCGAATCACACCAGCTAAGGATCTGGCCTATTATGTAGTAATCTGTGAGAATCAGTTATTTTAAATATATCCTGTACAAGCATGTGCGTAATTTGGCCTTTTGGTAATGACCAACGTCTACCCCAGGTGCTTAAGTTTGGCTGGTCAATCAAGTGGCCATTTAAGGCCATTTTCAATGAGAACGTGCAGTACGCTACATGCTGTACACCCTTAATTATCCAATGAAAAGTGTTAATAATTAAGATTTCAGGTAAGTGAAGAATGTTTTCACTCTCATTATAATGAAGTGAGCTGTAGCTCACGAAAGCTCGTGCTCAAATAAATTGGTTAGTCTCTAAGGTGCCACAAGTACTCCTTTTCTTTTTGCGAATACAGACTAACACGGCTGTTACTCTGAAACACTCTCATTATAGTAGAAGTTGTGGGGCATGACTCGGTGTCGGAAAAAAGGGAGGGTTAGCTGACTGGTTTCAAATAAGCAAGGTCACACTGGACGCACACGTTTTAGAGTATTTATTAATATCGTTAAAGGATTAGCAGTGCAATTTAAATGAGATAAATTTCAATTTAAATGGTTGGACTTGGGCCCCACCCTGAAGTGTGGGTCTCTGGTCTGTGGGATCAGGGCCTTGATATGTGTGATATTTGCAGACTACTTCAGTGAAAGACTTAACACTTTGTGCTTTTTGTGTGGTTTTTAGACAATGACCATGGGAGACATCAGCTACACGCGAATCAGCAAGAGAATCTAGCTAGCCTGTGCATTTCCTATACTGTGTAAAGTGTGCCCAATAAAGTACAGTTTGTATTAAAGCCCCTTTGTTGTTATGCATTATTATTATTATTATTAGCATCCTCCTTGTCATTTGGTGGCAATGCTGTGATTCGCAGATGCCTGTTGTAAGAGCGGTATTGGCCGTGGTTTCTATCCATTTTCCTAGTGAACAACTGTCCATATCACAAAAGCCACCACCACAATTGGCACAAACTGGCGAGCAAGTTCAACACAGAGGACTCAGTATGAATGGTCTATAGAGACTGAATTACCCTCTGTTCCACAGAAGTGGTTCCTCCGGGTCAGCGTTGAGGCCCATTGCTGTGGCCCAGGCTGTATTTGTTCTGTTGCTAAACACAGTCATCGCATTGTTGGTTCATATTCAATTTGTGAGCCACCAGAATCCCCAGACACTGCAGTACTACGACCTAGCCAGATAGTCCCATTCTGTAGCTGTGCTGCTGATTTATTTCCTTCCTAAGAATTTCTCTTTATTGAATTTTATCTGGTTGATTGCAGACCAATTCTCCCATTCATTTAGGTCATTTTGAATGTTAAGCCTGTCCTCCAACGTGCTTGCAAAACCGCTCCCAGCTTAGGTGTCATCTACAAATTTTATAAGTGTCCTCCCCACGGCATCAGCCAAGCCATTAAGGAAAATATTGAATAATACCAGACCCAAGCCAGACCTCCCTGTAGGACCTTCCTAGATCCATCCTCCCAGTTTGTTAGTGAACCACTGATAACTACTCTTTGACCATCTTTTTTTCAACCAGTTGTGCACCTACCTTGGAGTAATTTCCTCTAGACCTCACGGCCCTAGCTTGCTTATCAGAATGTCATGTGGGACTGTGTCAAAAGCCTTACTAAAATCAAGATATATCATGTCTGCTACGCCACCAACCCACTAGGCCAATAACCCTGTCAAAGAAGGCAGTTAGGCTGGTTTGGTATCATTTGATATGGACAAATCCATGTTGGCTATTACTTATCACGCTATTATCCTTTAGGTGCTTACAAACTAGTTGTTGAATAATTTGTTCCAGTATCTTTTCAGGTATCAAATGTCCCATTAAGATGATGTTTCCAAACATTTATACAGCTGAACACAGCTTCAGGAAGATGAAACCAATCTCACACACACACACCCTTGAACCTCACTGGGTTGTTAAAGGCCTGACCCATCTTAATGTACACATCTTCCACAACCCTCTCCCCTCACTAATCCTTTGCACCCGCCAGCGGGGCATGCCCCATACTTTGGGAAACACTACGGTAGATCTTCATAATACAATCTTCCCTCTTCCTGCCTTACATGTGATGGGCGTTCAAACAGTGAACAGTTTGGGGATTTAAAGTGTCTCCATTGGCCTCTGAGTTTACACCCATTGACATGAATTCAGCCATTCAGAACCATAGTTTCAGACTCTCTGCTGGAGAGTCCAGAATTTATTTTTAAACCTTAATTACCTTGCAGAGGAATTTTCTCCAATTTACTTGCAAGTGTCAGGTTGGGGATTCCCAGGGTTGGGGAAGGGGTCCGAGCCCCATGCACACGCGAACCCTCCCTCCTAGGTGCATCAGAGTTAAGCTTCAGGGGAAAGTACCACGCTTAATGATAGAACACCACCTTCCCTTATGCCAGGCAAACCCAGTAGCAAACCCAGGGGAAGACCTCTAGGTGGTGTTACAGACTGCTTTGCCCCCAGTATACCATAAAGAATCAGCCCAGGGACAGATCTCTGGCAGAGGTTCCACAGAGTCCCTTGCCCCGGGACACAGCACACTGCCCCCAGACTTAGCTAGCATGCACCATGCTCTCAGAACGATGAGTCCTGCTGCATGGTCTCAGCTGTCCAGGTGGCTGTTTGGTGCCTGCCTGCCCCTTCTGTGCTGCTGGTTCTGCTCCTCCAGGGACAGCTGCTCCTTCTTTCTTCTCCTCCTTCCAAATTTCCCAGGCTTGCGACCCTGCCGCCCCTTCCCCAATCTCTTATTAGCTCAAACCCTCCCAGACGGCTGCCAGATAGCAGGGGTGACAAATCAGGATAGAGGGTGGGAGGTAATAGGTGCCTACATAAGAGAGAGCCTCAAATATGAGGATTGTCCCCATAAAATCAGGACATCTGGTCATCCTAAGTGGCACACTCCCCAGCCAATCAGGTTTGAAGGGAGGGGCTCTACTCAGACAAGATTCATCTCTTCTCTGGTCCATCTTTTTGATTTCTAGTGTCCATTGTCAGCTCCTTTGTCTAACTGATTCATCTACTCCTGACACTAGCTCACCGCAGCTGTAGCTCTGATGACCCCCGCCCACAGAAGTTGGGTTGTTTTTTTCCTCTCTCTCTTTTGTTCTGTTCCTTCATAGACGACTTAGCGCTTTTAATCCTCAGCATCTTGTACAGATATTACCTGGCCAATCCTCAAGATTCCCTAATCCAGTTGTGAATATCATGTCCCTTGCACAGATAAAGCAGTGGTGAGTGATTTGACCAAGGCAGCAAACTGTGGTAGACCCAGGATTTGAAATCAGGAGTTCCTGGCCCCTAGTTTTGGGATCAGGGGTATTAGTTCATGCCTCTAGCTCAAAGCTGTGCCTGATTCATCTTTCATATGTGCTTTCAAACAAATGGAGAATCATTTCTTTCACCTCCCTTTTGCCATGGGGAAAAATCATGATGCATGTTTGATGAAATGTGAGTTTTTGCTGATTCTGCTGGTGGGCAGAATTTGTTCCCACAGCCCTCACAACAATACCAGTTAGGTTCAGAGAAATTCTTGTGATCTCCCATGCCAATTGAGACAGGTGCTTGTATCTGTCAGCCCATCAACATAAGAACACAAGAACGGTCATACTGGGTCAAATCAAAGGTCCATCTAGCCCAGTATCCTGTCTTCCAACAGTGGCCAATGCCAGAGGGAATGAACAGAGCAGGTAATCATCAAATGATCCATCCCCAGTCGCCCATTCCCAGCTTCTGGCAAACAGAAGCTAGGGACACCATCCTTACTCATCCTGACTAATAGTCTTTGATGGACCTATCCCCCATGAACTTATCTAGCTCTTTTTTGAACCCTGTTATAGTCTTGGCCTTCACAACATCCTCTGGCAAAGAGTTCCACAGGTTGAGTGTGCATTGTGTGAAAAAATACTTCCTTTTTTTTTTGTTTTAAACCTGCTGCCTATTAATTTCATTTGGCGACTTGTGTTATGAGAAGTAGTAAACAACACTTCCTTATTTACTTTCTCCACACCACTCATGATTTTATAGACTTCAATCATATCTCTCCTTCGTCATCTCTTTTCCAAGCTGAACAGTCCCAGTCTTATTAATCTTTCCTCCTACAGCCGTTCCATACCCCTCACCATTTTTGTTGCCCTTTTCTGAACCTTTTCCAATTCCAACATATCTTTTTTGAGATGTGGCAACCACATCTGCATGCAGTATTCAAGATGTGGGTGTACCATGGAGGCAGAGCAATCCCTAGGGTATGGCAAAATGGGGCGACAGCCCTGGGCCCCGTGCTTTGGAGGGCCCCGTGCTTCATGAGAAGGCTGGCGGGGAGGTGAGGCGGGGCACCAGCGGGTGAGGCGGTGCCCCTCTACCAACCTCCTCCTCCCCCCAGTGCCTTCTGCCCACCAGCTGGCCCCACCAATCAGCGCCTCCCACTCCCTCCCAGTGCTTACCACCGATCAGCTGTGTCGCAGTGTCTGGAGGCACTGGGGGGAGGAGGGAAGAGCGAGGGTGCAGCACAGTCAGGGGAGGGGGCGGAACTGGGCAGGAAAGAGGTAGGGCGGGGGCAGGAAGAGGTGGGGTGGGGGTGGGGCCTTGGGGGAAGGGGTGGGGTGGGGTCGGGGCCTGGACGGAGCCAGGGGGAGCACGCAGGAAACTCAGCGCCTATGTCCTGGGCCCCCTAGGGACGACCCTGCATGGAGGTATATAGAGGCAATATGATATTATTATCTATCCCTTTATCTATCTTATTATCTATCCCTTTCTTAATGATTCCCAACATTCTGTTCATCCAGCTATGTGGGGATAAAGAATGATATGTAACGAGCAATCAGTGGAGACGTGTGCAGACAGAGACCCGGGTCATCAACCAATGGCAGGCACTAAAGAAGCGGAAAAAGTTACCACGGTCAGTCATAAAACTCGGAAGTAACACTGTCAGCTCGTCCAGTATGCTGAATACCGACTAGGTGTGATATCCAGGCCAGCAGAGGGCAGTAGAACACAGGAACACAACCTAAACCATCCCATATGGATGGGCAGCTTTGGGCTAAAAGGAAACACTTAGGCATGCCCATTACAGTTGACCATGTGCCGAACAAGATGGTTTCCAAAGTGGTAAGTTGTCCCCCTACCTCTATCCAGTATTATGGCCCCAATATGAGTGAGGTTCTCAAACTTTTATACTGGTGACCCCTTTCACAGAGGAAGCCTCTGAGCGCGACCACCCCACCCCATATACATTAAAAACACTTTTTTTTATATTTAACACTATTATAAGTGCTGGAGGTGAAACAGGGTTTAGGATGGAGGCTGACAGCTTGTGACCCCTCATGTAATAACCTCGCGACCCCCTAAGGGGTCACGACCTCCCAGTTTGAGAACCCCTGCGGTATAACTATATCTAGGGTGACCAGATGTCCCAATTTTATAGGTGCAGTCCCGACTTTTGGGTCTTTTTCTTATATAGGCTCCTATTACTCCTCACCCCCATCCCAATTTTTCACATTTGCTGTCCGATCACCCAAATTATATCGCTCGGGGTGTGAAAAATCCACACCTAATGGGTGACGTAGTTATACTGACCTAAACTATGCAGAAAGCGCTGTGTTGACAGGAGAGCTTCTCCCACCAGCAGACCTACTGCTTCTTGCAGAGGTGGATTAACTATGCCGACAGGAGAGCTCTCTCCCGTCAGCTTAGAGCATCTTTACTAAAGTGCTACAACCTCGCAGCCGCGCCAGGGCAGCATTTTAAGTGTAGACTTGCTCTGTGTTTCCCAGACCTGAAGAAGAGCGCTGTGTAACGCTTGAAAGCTTGTCTCTCTCACCAGCAGAAGTTGGTCCAATAAAAGATATTAACTCACCCACCTTGTCTCCCTGAATAGTTTTATGACTTTTAATAACATCAGCAGCTGTGGACAATAGCAACAGGTAGGAAATTCTCATGCTTAAAGATGTGAAGTGTTCACTGTAGGGCTCAAGAACGAATTTCACCCCCTGAATCCTCAGGGATTGGCCAGGCTGGAGTCCAGATTCCACACACACAATGGACTAATGTAAAGTGGGCCCTATGGGACAGATTCTCATCTGCATTACACCCATTTTAATTTAGAGTAACTGCAGCAAAGTCAATGGATAATATGAGATAAGAACCTGGCCTTATTTCACTGGCCTATCTGGTCAGGAGTAATGAGAAACTTCTTGAATATGCCATTAATTTTATCTGCTACTCACCACTGAAGATTTGGAGAATTTGATTTCTGAAATACAGACAGACAGAAAACACCTTTTTGTTTAAAAATGCTGTTTCTAATGTATTTCCTTTTTAACATAAAACCGAAAGCCTCAGTGACATAACCTGCTAATGGCACTGTACAGAACCCAAACCAGTCCCAAGGATGATGTTAGCAGCATGGTCACGGTCTAGCATTCATTAACAGCGGATGAGAATTGTTTTGTAGGTGCATCTGTTGTAGAGCCTGAGTTACAGGAAGTTTTAAAGAGACACTGTGTTAATACACGCTGGGGCAAAGCTGGTTGTCAGATTGCTGTGCATCTTCCACAGCAGTGAAAATCAACACCACTTAACACCCTGCAAACATTATCTAATTGATCTTCCCAGCACTCCTGTGAGATGGGACTGGTATCCAATCAGACTCCAGGAGTTCAGTCTGTTTAGCTTCATCAAGAGGAGGGTAAGTGGTGACTTGATCACAACCTATGAGTACCTGCGTGGGCACTTCAATCTAGCAGACAAAGGTAGAACAAGGTTCACTGGCTGGAAGTTGAAGTTAGACAAATTCAGGCTATGAATTTGAGAGTAATTAACAGTTGGAACAACCAACCAAGGGTTTGGGGTGGATTCTCCATAAGTGGCAATTTTAAAATTAAGACTGGACATTTTTCTAAGAGACATGATCTAATTCAAACAGGAATTAATTCAGGGGAATCCTCTGCTTGTGCTATACAGGGGGTCAGACTAGATGAGCACAATGGTTCCTTTTGGCCTGGGAATCTATGAACCTACACTTTACAGATGGTGAACAAAAGAACATAAGAACGGCCATATTGGGTCAGTCCAATGTTCCATCTACCTCACAAGTACTCCTTGTCTTCTGATAGTGGCCAATGCCAGGTGCTTCAGAGGGAATGACCAGAACAGGGCAATCATCAAGTGATTCATCCCTTGTCGCTCATTCCCAGCTTCTGGCAGAGACTTAGGGACCCCCAGAGCATGGGGTTGCATTCCTGACTATCTTGGCTAATTGTCATTGATGGACCTATCCCCCATGAACTTATCTAATTCTCTTTTGAATCCAGTTATGGTTTTGGCCTGCACAACATCCCCTGGCAATGAGTTCCACAGGTTGACTGTGCGTTGTGTGAAGAATATTTCCTTTTGTTTGTTTTAAACCTGCTGCCTATTAAATGGTGGCACAGAAAGTCAAATACAAAGGTGAATCTAAACTGATGTAATCTAGATTTCTTTCCAGCTTCACCAGAGTTCACATTTTTTTAGCTGAAATTTAGACTCAACTCTGAACTTGGCTAGAGAGAGTAATTGACTTTACCAAAGTCAATGACAGAGGCGAGATTGGAACACAGATGATGCTGGCTCCCTTGCCCATTACACTAGACCATATTCCTTACCACCAGATAAGTCCAAGCTGAACTTGACATTTCTTGAATCAAAGCAAGTACGCAGGAAAGATATTGGCAACGACATCTGTCGTTCTCTTCCTAAAAGAATTGTCCTTCTACCCACTCCCCGCCCATCAGGGTTCAGTTCCTATGGCACATGAGCCTTAAAGCCACCCCCTGGCTATATACTACATTAGATCCATCTGTGGTACTCACTGCAGGACCCAGTTACACATACCTCATAAATTAACTTACACACCAGGCTTAAGCATGATTTAAATGCTCTTGTATTGAAACAGGGTAAGCACGACACAGTTTGGTCGGCCAGCATGAAGGGGTCCAAAGCACATTAGAACACCGACGTTGCTCCAGCCCAGGTTGGGACTGGGAACTAAAGGAAGTAGGAGCAGTGAGGAGGACAACTCCCCATCCTCCACATCACTCCAGATGGGAGTTCCCACACTGTTGCCAAGGGAAGCAGTGTTTCCCCGCCACTCCCTGCCCCATTGGTTGGTGTGATGGAAGCTCCCAATTCTCTTTCAATCTGCTTTGACCACTGGTTTGGACCAACACCAGAGCTCCATTTCTGATCAATGTTCTAACCTGCTTTAGAGACTAACCAATTTATTTGAGCATAAGCTTTCGTGAGCTACAGCTCAGCATCCGATGAAGTGAGCTGTAGCTCACGAAAGCTTATGCTCAAATAAATTGGTTAGTCTCTAAGGTGCCACAAGTACTCCTTTTCTTTTTGCGAATACAGTCTAACACGGCTGTTACTCTGAAACCTAACCTGCTTTGACTTCATTCATGCTGAGATTTAAACCATTGTCTATGCACTTTTTACTTGGCAGGGCAATGTCAGCTGAGCCATTGTCACCCTAGTTTATACGGCCCTAATGGTACCTAAATTCTTCTACCGAAGGTAGGATCTCTAATTAATCTGCATACTGGTCACAGTACTGCCTAAAGTCTGCTCCATTCGGCAGGTTAGTTCCTACACTACAGAATCGTTTTTGAACTATAGAAAAATGGCAGGAAAAGTGTCTTTACTTAAAACTTCCTCAGTGCTAAATCCTAACAGCTTTCCTCAGTTTTCACTCAGTCCTCACACAGACAAGACTCCCTTTGGGTCAAACACTGTCATCCATCCTCATTTTTACTGGGGTCTATCCCCATCCTCACTTGGGCAAGCACCTGCTGACTCCAGTGGATGTTTCGCTTGAGAAAGAACTGATTGAAAGTCTAAGTGAGGGACTTCAGGATTTGGCCTTATATGAAGAGAACTAGACCTAAAATGAATTATTGTGGAAGCGAAGCTATAATGACCTTTTTATTATTTGTGGAAACAAGATCTATTTCCTGTGAAATATTTCTTAGCTGATGCCCTGAGCTCCTGGAAGAATACTTGTCTCAGGAGATATAAGTGTTCTTAATTAGATAGCACGGTGCTTATTACAAATAACCTCTTCAGATTTGGAAGAAAAGGGTGGATGTTCTACCAGATGTGCAGGAATACAGATAACTGGAAGCTTTGGGGTTACTGTTTCGTGTGGAAGAGGCCCGATGAAGCTTCATTGGTGGGCTCAGGCATAACTTGGATCTTCTGGTTTTTCAGGGCTGCTTCTCTCATTTTGTAATACATGAACTCGTTCTGTTGGAACATGCGCAGCTCCATCTCCGACTGGACACGCATGACCTGCAGGGATGAAGGGCAGGCCAAGTGGTGAAAACTCTACAATATCTCTCAAAGTAAAGAAATAAAGTACCTTCTAAGGTAGAATAGTGGCCTCCTGCTCCCCAGTTCTGTTAGATGGCTGAACATCGGTGCCATCTAATGAGTATTCAGTGGCCCATGTGACAAGGGAGGATGATATCAGTCCAGTTCCATAACCTGTCCCTCATCCAGGAGGCCAAAGGCTGCCTAGACATAGAGACTCAGCTGCTCTCCCAAACCCAGTCATGGTCCCTCCTAGACCAGGCTGATTAGTGGTGAGGCAGTGTGGGGTAGATTGCACTGCCTGTCTGCTGTGGTTCTTCTGCAGACAAATACAGGTTCCCATTCCCAAAGTTGTCAACCCAGAGTTCTTCATGAGCACAAATTCACTGCCAGCGCTAGATTACAGGGCTGCCTCTGTGCCTGCACAGGCAGAGAAGGGGTGCTAAGGATTCCCTTTACACCCTTCTGCAGGCTAGCTGGCCTTGGATCCAGGCACACAAGGGTAAGTGGGTGCTGTGAGCCCACTGCTCTCCTCCTGGAGAAGCTCGGCAGGGAACAACAGGGAACGGGCAGAGCCTTGACTCCATCCTCCAGTACACCAGACAACTGAGCTAAGTCAGTGCGGGCAGGAAGAAAGGAGGCCTGTAATTTGCTGCTTCTGTAGGCCAGCAACAAATTACTATCCTGGGAGCAAAGGGAGAGCATATGTAACCCACACACCTCCTGGGTGTGGGGTTCTGTCCCATTGAGTGGCACCAAGACCACTTAGAGAGAGAGAGAAAATAAGCCTGCTCTACAGCCTTAGCTAAGGAGCCTATGGCTTTTAGGTCATGCAGTAGAGGTTCATGCACTAAGCTCCAGAGGTCCCAGGTTCGATCCCGCTCACCGAAGACTGGGGCCCGTCAGCGTTACAATGGAATGAAGTGGGTCCCTAAAGGACAATTCTTTTCCTGGGAGAGCACAGCAACGCACTGCCCCTTATTATGGGCCGAGGAAATAAAATGCACATTTGGCAGTGGCTTTAGCCCTATACTACTGGGGCAGTTGCATAAAGACCTATGCATGTCTCTCTCTCTCTCTCTCTCTCTCTCACACACACACACATCCCTGACCTAGCAGTCACAGTGCCACCAGCCAAGTTCAGGTGAGGACATAGCTGGCAGGAGAACATGTCACTTCTCCAAAGGCACAGCAAAGCTTACATCCCGCTCTGTGGCTAATATAGGGGTAAGCGAAACAACTTCATCGGAAAATGTCACATTTTTCAGTTTCTCAACGCTGCATTTGGAAGTGAAACACTTTGTTTTGAATTGACAATTTTTTACTTAAAAATGTCAACTTTTAGTCCAAATGTCTGTTAGATATGAACATTTCGTTTCAAATCGACATTCCAAAATGAAACACTTCATTTCGAATCAACATCTTGTTTCAACATTTCCAATTTTTTATCGCTTTTCATTCCATGAAGGTTTTCAATACTGTATTTTGACTTATTCTCCCCATTTGGGATGAAAACCAATGTTAAAACGTTGGAATGTCCCAGAGGATAGGAATTCCATTTTCTAACCAGCTCCAGTATAATCTAATGGAAAACATATTAACATCACACTGCACGAAGCAAGCTTTATATGATCAGTTCCCAGCTTTTTAGGCATCTGCTTCTACTGTTTATTTAAATTTAACTTTTCATATACAATGACAACAAACCAGATTACACAGACACATGTCAACGTAGGAACTGTCCAAGAGACGCTGGCCACCTACCTCCAGGTCTTTGGTGATTGGGTGGGTAGGTCCATGGGTCACCAGAAGAATAGCATAGGCTTTGCAGATCATGCCATGCCCTGCTTCAATGAGACTGGCATGCCAATGGGTCACTCCTGCCCGCATCACTGCCATCCCTAACTGCGCATTGTTGGGATGGTATATTTTCCTGGGAAAACATTGAGAAATTTCATTGTGGGGAGCATCTAACTTTCCAAATATTACCTGAAAACACTGTTTACTGAGGGCCAGATTCTGTCACGCTTACTCACACTGAGCAGTACCTCAATCCATGAGTAGCCCCACTGAAATCAGTCGAACTGCTGGAAGTGGGAGCTACTACATGGTGTGGCAGAACCTGGCTGGGCAGGAACAACATGCTGACAGGGTCTGATACAGGCTCCGAAGGTTTGTAACACCACATTCCATCGATATAACTGCAATCAGGATCTGACGCTATGCCCCTAACATTGCAGTTCCAGCACAGTGAGCAATTGCTTGAAATTACGTTTAAACCTAACGCTTAGCTCTTATGTAACATTTTTCATTTGTGGATCACAAAGCACTTTGCAAAGGAAGGAAAGTATCATTGTCCCCATTTTACAGATCGGGACTCTGACTCACAGCAAGGTGAAATGACTTTCCCCATGTCACCTAGCAGATCAGCGGCAGAGACAGGACTTGAATGCAGGTTCTACTTCCAGGCTTATGACCCTTCCCCTGGACCACGCTGCCTCTCATCAAACAACAGTGGTGAAAGGCATTAAAATGAAACTGGACAAAATGGCAAACAGCACACTCCTGGGAACAATTCTTCTTTGAAGGGAGGATGAATTAGGTGATGCAATAGGCCTTTTCCACTTCTAATGTCTATGATTTTAAAACCTGTGATTTCTAAGAATCTGTGCTCACTTTATCATTTGAGCTACACTTAGCATGAGGGAGGACAAACAGAAATTGGAGCGCCTTAGCCTGAACAGAATAAAACCCAATCCATAGCTTTCCTGGCTTTGCAGTAGAAACTTGGTTTACTCAGTAAAGAAGTAGCTACAGAGTGTGCAAAGGAGACAGCAATTTCCATCATGTATGATTGGGCTGTCCAAAAGGAGATCACATTAAAATTATCACAACATGGGGGAAGCGCCTGGATAAGATGCTGCTGGGCTGCTAAGATGGAAGGAAATTCTAGACGGTTTGAGGCTCTTTCTAGACCAACTGGGTGTTTCTGGCCAATCACCTCTTGATGGCCAACTGTTGGAAGGAAGGCAAGCAGCTTCCAGGTGGAGATGCCCCAGCAAAGCAAGAGACTATTTCACAATGGAAAATGTCAACAGCCAAAACAAAGTTGAATATATATTATTTCCTAAATGCCTGTCCCCTACCCCCGTCACTTGACTCCTTTAAAATGGGACTGGGCCAAGCCAGCTGCAGGGGGTCAGGAAGGGATTCTCCTCCTCCTCCCCCAGTGTATTCTGGGAGGGTTTTTTTTATCTTCTTCCTCTGAAGCTTCAGGGATGCCACAGGGGACACTGGGCGAGTTGGGCCAGGGCTCTGGGGTAGCATCAAGCATTTGCTCTCTCAAGTGCTTGGCTGACTGGTTCTTGCCGTCACGCACAGAGTCTAACTGATCACCATGTGTGCGGTCAGGAAGGAATTTTCTCCCAGGCTGGATTGGCAGGGACCTTGGGGATGTTGTGCCTTCCTCTGCAGCTGGGGATGCAGGTGACTTGCCAGGATTATCTGGGTGTATCTCATTTAATTATTTCCCTGCCATTGTGGGGGCCTTGGGCATGGGTGCACCTCAGTCCCTCCTGTTCTCTGCCTGTCGCACGTAATACTCTAGTCTTCCATGGGTTTCATTTACTTTGGTCTGACTTCAGCTGTTGGGTTCAGTGTGCGAGTCCTGGGTGGGTGTTGGTGGTCTGTGCCATACAGGAGGTCACACTGGATGATCTAGTGGTCCCTTCTGGCCTTAAACACTGACTGTGACACTCAGGAATAAACTGCAAGGAACAGTTACTAGCAGGAGCAAGGCCTAGATGTGACCTGAAGTGGTGTAAAGTAAAAGGGCAAGACAAAAATTTGCATTTGGGGACATCTGTGCAATCCACCAGCAGTTTTCTTATCACAGTAGCATCTCTTTACCAGTCAGAGATCACATTACAGGAGCACAGTGTGTTCTTTACATAATGATAGGTTTTCTCCATGTCTGCTTTCTCTGACACCATCTAAGCAGCTCTGGGCAGCTTCTCAGACAAAAGAGATGGGTGAATTAAACCTGTCCAGTTGCCCTCTGAAGTTATATGTAGACAAATTGAAAAATGATCCTGTTTTGGAGCTTTCCATTCACAAAGTGAGCAAAACTCTCTCTCTCTCTTTGGTGATAAAAGCAGGGCCTGATTCTGAGCTCAGTTATATAGGTTTTACACCAGTGTTGCTCCACTGACCTTAGTGGACTTACTCCTGTTTTACACCACTGTAAAGTGAGAGCAGGGTCAGGTCCAGATTCTTTGTAGAAATGTCTTAATTAAATTATTGAGTCAAAAAGAGCCACCATGAAAACGGGTGACTTGATCACATACATGTAACCATCAACCATCCTCTTCGCATAGCCTGCTGCTTCCTCGAACATCTGGAGGTAGGAGAGCACTTCCGAAGCGATGCTCAGGATCCTGAGCAGGTAGATGTTAGTGTCTCCCAGCACAGGCTCTTGTTTCTTCAGACACTCACGACAGAGCTTCACAACCTAGGCACCCATGAAAGGCAAATGAGTTCAAGAGAACGTCACAGCACCACCTGCCCTAGAATTGCACATCCGCCATGACAGAGCGCTGTATCTTGTATGGTTCACGTTTATCCTATTTGCTCAGTAGCTGCTCGCCAACTAGAGAGAGTCAGTCATAAACAAGCGAGGAAAGTAAGAGTGAAGGGTGCAAATGTAACCCACTGGTGAGTGAGTCACAGGTTTCCCCTTTGTCCCCATCTGCATGAGATTATTGCAGCCTCACCGAGGGAGTCTTGGCTCTTAGTTCATGCTTTTAGTTCTGGAGATCCCTAGTGTGTTGGCAAAGATGGCTGCCATCACACTAACTTCCCCACCTCACTAAAGGGCATCAGCAGAGAGGTGGGACCAGATTGACACCAGCTCTGAACCTCTCACATGCTGGTGAAGGGTGGATCCAGTGTCATCCCTGGAGGTTCAGGCTCATCCTCTGTGAGATGGATCTGAGGAGAAGGACTGGATCTGATTCCCTTGGACTCTGGGGGAGTTTGGATCCACCCCAGAACCCTTGTGACTTGGTCCCATCCCTATTTTATTGCCATGGAGAGAGAAAAAGAGCACTCCAGCGAGATAGGCAGCCCCGGTGGAAGGATCACCCACTGCCAGGCTGTGGATAGAGAGGTGGAGGAGGCCAAGACGGGCAGAGGAGAATGAATGAGCCAGGGAGGAAGGAAGTGAACACTGGTGAATTAATTTCAGTGTATTCATTCGTTGTCTGCCCCATAAACACTGACATCAGCAAACTGACCCGTCAGCTTGAGTGTGCAACTAGTGCCCCTGTCTGCAGGACTGTTTCATTAATATGACAACACAAAGGCTGACTGAGTCTGCCCAGTGGCTTGGTGAGATCAGCTGCCTGCTTCCTTCCCCTGAAGTTCCACAGCAACGAGAGACCAAAGACACCGTGACTTACTTCGTGGTAGACCCCCTCGGATCGGGCCTTGCTGATCTTCTCCAGGGTGTCCTTGGAGAACTGGAGAACTTCCTTCACTACATCTTGGGAGGGCTGGGGACAGCATTGGAAAGCTATTGAAACGAATTCACTTCTGAAGTTACACCCATGCTCCCCGGAATAGAACCAGCTGCCACACTGAGGTCCTGAAGCTTGCTACCATTGAACTCAATAGTAAAACTTCCACTGATTTCAATGGGAGCAGGATCAGCCCCTACCTGTACTAATCTACAGTGTCACTCAGTGCTGCTACTGAATAGATATGACCTGATTGTGCTCTCGCTGGGACGAGGGTGTAGCAGGGTAGGGGGACAGGAAGGGACCTGAGTGGTTTGGGTGGCTTGGTTTGGTTTGTTTGTTCCTGCAAAATGTCAGAAGTTAGTGACTGGCAATTGGGAGACTCTTGCAAACCTCACGGGGGAATGGAAGAGACTGAGCATGGGAGACAGAGAAGAGGCCGCCCTCAGTGGGGTTCCACGGAGCCACCAGGTACTGCATGTGCACAGCGTATGGCAGGATTGGGGCCATCGACTGAGACTTCCACAGAGTTCTACCAGGGAGGAATTTAACCCTTTATTTCATTTACATACTTGAAAAAATGTCAGCATTTGGGCCAAAACATGACTTCCCACCTGGCCTTAAAAGCTGGTCCCTTCCAGCTCTCCATGCTGGAATGACAGCTGCAAGCATTCCAAAACCACAAGTCAGGCCCCCAAAATATTGAGATTGTCATGAGATTTAAAAACTAATTAATGTTGGATTCTTTTTCTTTGCCTTCTGGTTTTTGAGTTTCTGGGGTTCCCACTTCTTTGAAATAAGAACATAAGAATGGCCATACTGGTCAGACCAAAGATGCATCTAGCCCAGTATCCTGTCTTCTGACAGTGACCAATGCCAGGTGCCCTAGAGGGGATGAACAGAACAGGGAATCATCAAGTGATCCATTCCCTGTTGTTCATTCCCAGCTTCTGGCAGACAGAGGCTCGGGACACCATCCATGCCCGTCCTGGCTAATAGCCATTGATGGACCTAGCCTCCATTAACTTATCTAGCTCTTTTTTGAACCCTGTTATAGTCTTGGCCTTCACAACATCCTCTGGCAAAGAGTTCCACAGGTTGACTGTGCGTTGTGTGAAGAAATACTTCCTTTTGTTTGTTTTAAACCTGCTGCCTATTAATTTCATTTGGTGACCCCTAGTTCTTGTGTTATTTACTCCTTCTCATAACACTTCCTTATTTACTTTCTCCACACCAGTCATGATTTTATAGACCTCTATCATATCGCTCCTTAGTCGTCTCTTTTCCAAGCTGAAAAGTGCTAGTCTTATTAATTTCTTCTCATATGGAAGCTGTTCCATACCCCTAATCATTTTTGTTGCCCTTTTCTGAACCTTTTCCAATTCCAACATATCTTTTTTGAGATGGGGAGACTACATCTGCACACATTATTCAAGATGTCGGTGTACCATGGATTTATATGGCGGCAATATAATATTTTCTGTCTTATTATTTATCCCTTTATTAAAGATTCCCAATATTCTGTTAGCTTTTTTTACTGCTGTTACACATAGAGTGGATGTTTTCAGAGAAACTATCCACAATGACTCAAAGATCTCTTTTTTGAGTGGTAAAACAGCTAATTTAGACTCCATCATTTTATACGTATAGTTGGGATTATGTTTTCCAGTGTGCATTATTTTGCATTTATCAACATTGAATTTCATCTGCCATTTTGTTGCCCAGTCACCCAGTTTTGAGAGATCCTTTTGTAGTCTTCGCAGTCTGCCTGGGACTTAACTATCTTGAGTAGTTTTGTATCATCTGAAAATTTTGCCACCTCACTGTTTACCCCTTTTCCCAGATCATTTATGAATATGTTGAATAGGACTGGGCCCAGTACAGGCCCCCTGGGGGGACATGACTATTTACCTCTCTACATTCTGAAAACTGACCATTTATTCCTACCCTTTGTTTCCTATCTTTTAACCAGTTACAAGTCCATGAGAGGACCTTCCCTCTTACCCCACGACAGCTTACTCTGCTTAAGAGCCTTGTCAAAGACGGACCTTGTCAAAGGCTTTCTGAAAATCTAAGTACACTATATCCAATGGATTCCCCTTGTCCACATGCTTGTTGACCCCCTCAAAGAATTCTAGTAGATTGGTGAGGCATGATTTCCCTTTACAAAAACCATGTTGACTCTTCCTCAACAAACTATGTTCATCCATGTGTCTGACAATTTTGTACTTAATGATAGTTTCAGCCAGTTTGCCTGGTACTGAAGTCAGGCTTACTGGCCTGTAATTGCTGGGATCACCTCTGGAGCTCGTTTTAAAAATTGGCGTCACATTAGCTATCCTCCAGTCATTTGGTACAGAAGCTGATTTAAATGATAGGTTACAGACTACAGTTAGTAGTTCTGCAATTTCACATTTGAGTTCCTTCAGAACTCTTGGGTGAATACCATCTGGTCCTGGTGATTTATTACTGTTTAGTTTATCAATTTGTTCCAAAACCTCTTCTAATGACACCTCAATCTGGGACAGTTCCTCAGATCTGTCACCTAAAAAGAATGGCTCAGGTTTGGGAATCTCCCTCACATCCTCAGCCATGAAGACCGATATAAAGAATTCATTTAGTTTCTCCTCAATGGCCTTATCGTCCTTGAGTGCTCCTTTAGCATCTCGTTCATCCACTGGCCCCACTGGTTGTTTAGCAGGCTTCCTGAGTCTGATGTACTTTAAAAAAAATTGCTATTACTTTTTGAGTCTTTAGCTAGCTGTTCTTCAAATTCTTTTTTGCCCTTCCTAATTATATTTTTACACTTCATTTCCCAAAGTTTATGCTCCTTTCTATTTTCCTCACTAGGATTTAACTTCCACTTTTTAAAGGATGCCTTTTTGCCTCTCACTGCTTCTTTTACTTTGTTGTTTAGCCACGGGGGCACTTTTTTGGTTCTCTTACTATGTTTTTTAATTTGGGGTATACATTTAAGTTGAGCCTCTATTATGGTGTCTTTAAAAAGTTTCCATGCACCTTGCAAGGATTTTACTTTTTGCACTGTACATTTTAATTTCTGTTTCACTTACTTCCTCATTTTTGTGTAGTCCTCCTTTCTGAAATTAAATGCTACAGTTTTCCCCACAATCACAAGGGCTAGAAATCTACTTTTTTTTTGTTTCTAAGGAAAGCTGAAGTTGTTTTATAATCACATGGTGCCCTGAGGTGGGGCTTCAAAAAAAACCAACCACCCTTTATTGTGAAATTCATGATAAAATTGACAACACTGTTATATGACCAAGAACCAAAGCAGTAATCCTGGGTTTGGACCTGAGGAATAGATTTTGATCCCTCCTGAAAGAGGAAGGGGTTTGGATTCAGTGCTCTAGGTTTGTCCTGTTGTTTGCTTTTAACATCTGGACTGCGGGAGGCTTGGGGAATCTTTGTGTTAGATTTTGCTAAATTTGTGAAGAAAGCCACCTGTGATCCTAATGACAGCCAGGCTAGAAAGGGCCCTGAAAGTTTACAATACAAGGAACAAGAATGGTCTTTTACTCGGAGCCTATATACAGAGTTATAGCTTAAAAGACTGAAACTACTGAAGGTAACCAGGTTTTAATATTTTAACCAGGGTTTAAGCCTGAATAGTGCTTTTGGGATAGGTCTACACTGCAGGTGAGAGCATGCCTCCCAGCCCAGGTAGACAGGCACATGCTAGCTCTGCTCAAACTCACACTAAAAATAACAGTATGGACATTGTGACATGGGCTAGCCACCGGAGTGTGGTCAGGGGGCCCAGGCAGCCTTGGACTCAGCCAGTCAGCTCATGCCACTACCTGTGCCTCAACAACCCACACGGCTATTTTTAGCATGCTAATTCAAGCAGAGCTAGCGTATGTCCTTTCTAGCCCAGTTGGGAATCACACCTCCCAGCTGCTGTGTAGACCTATTGGGGTCCTATCCTGTCCTGCAGACTTTGTTCAAAAAGAATTTTGATGTCAATACAAGTTGTTTTTTCTGAGTAAGGGCACTGTCCTATATTGAGCACTTGAAATGTCACTTAAACAGTAGCAGCACATGCATGCGGGGTGGGGGGAAAGAGGGGTTATCCCATTTGCCTACATAAATTGTCAAATGAAAGCTGTTTCCTGCCTTCACTAAGAGCCTAATCCCGGTCCCACTGAAATCAATGGAAGCTTTGCCACTAATCTGAAGGGGTGAAGGATCAGAGAACGGAACGGCTGTCAAGTATGTAAACTGTCATTCCAGCATACATTCAGAGGGCATTTTCCATGCAGCTGTGAGGGCTGCTACTAACCGGGGACTGAGCCTGAATTCGGAGAATGTAGACAAGCTGGGCAGCAAGCAGGCACTGTCTCCTGTTAAGGTCAATACCAAGATTTATTACCTATGTATGGAGTGTATTTTTAATACGTAAAATCCCAGGCCTTGCATAGATACAGGGAGATTTTTCCATGAGGGCACTAAAAGATATGGAAAATATTCACCCTGAAAGTGACACACGCTGACTGTGTGTACAGCAGATCCCTACTCATACACACACACAGAGACACACAAGCCCTCGCTGCTCACTAAGGCTCTGTCTACACTATGAGCAGCCGCAGAGGCCAGGCTGAGTATGAGCCCACCTGAAAACCAGTGGGTAGGTATTCAGTACAGCTAAACTGCGCCTCCACTCCTGTGTCAGTGTTTCCATGACTACAATGCTATTTTTACACATGCTACCTGGATAAGAACTAACAAGAGTATATGTACATGAGCAGGGGAATCGCATCCCCTCACTCCTTGTGTCGATGTAGCCTAAAGGTTTAACAGCAGGTGCTGTAGAAAGATCTTATATTTCTGAAGACATTGCTGGAAGTGGTCCGACGCCACGGTGATAAGTGTGGTACAAGTGGCCACAGATACAGAATAAAGAGAGGTAACTTACTAGTACACGATGAATTACTATAGCAAATAATAGAAACTAAGCAACAGTTTAATTTGCAGTGGTCTCCCAGAAGTTAGTAGGAGTTATGGGCTGCATGCAGCCCTTACTCATGTGAGTAGTTCCTGTTTGTACAAGTAGTCCCTTGACTTCAATTAGGGCCTGATCCTGTAAACCTTTACTTGTGGGAGTAGTCCTAACAAAATCGAGTGCAAGACTCACATTGCAGGATCAAGCTTTTACTGATTCCAGGGATACTACTTGCATGAGTGCAAAGTTGCAGGACTAGGTCCTTAACGTAGTTCAGCTGTGATTTGATTTAGAGAGGAGCTGATCATTGTGTGAATAAAGCTAGCTCAGAAAGAGAACAGCAATCAAGGGAAAAAATTCCCACTTACATGTAATCAGGAGCTATCAGCACCGTCTCAAAGTAAAACAGCCTGTCAAGGAAAACAGCTTAATACCTACAAGACACCCCACAAAGTTGCCATGCTATCATAATCCATTCTTCCAAGAACTCGTGTGAAGCTGAATAATAAACAAATACAAGTCACTATGCTTCTGCACAAAAGATAAATAGCCTGTTGTGTGAACTCCCCACAGAGAATTGACCCAATGCGGTCACCCACAAAGACCTATCCAGAGGTTCTCACAACAATTTTTTTGGTGGCCTCAGAGTGCGGCCACCAACTCTTGCTTGTGGTCACTCAGACAATTTTTCCTAAAATACTTAATTAACTTTATGAAAAACAAATAAATATGCACATATACATGTCCAAATCATAGCAACTTATTTATTTACATTCAGAATAAGAAGCAATGGTCTCAAGTTGCAGTGGGGGAGGTCTAGGTTGGATATTAGGAAACACTATTTCACAAGGAGGGTGGTGAAGCACTGGAATGGGTTACCTAGGGTGGTGGTGGAATCTCCATCCTTAGAGGTTTTTAAAGCCCAGTTTGACAGAGCCCTGGCTGGGATGATTTAGTTGGGGTTGGTCCTGCTTTGAGCAGGGGATTGGACTAGATGACCTCCTGAGGTCTCTTCCAACCCTAATATTCTATGATTCGATGTAGGGGTTTTTTGCAGACTCAATAATAAAAATAATGTAAGTTGTCTCTATTCTTTACTGGACCTAAACAGAATAGAAACACAAATATAGGGGCTTTACATGTTCTTGTTCTTTTTTTTAATTATTGTTTCTTTTGCTTATTTTGGTTGCATTTTTTTAGACTTACTAGCTAGTAAGTCTGCTTCTGTGAAAAGTGATATTTGTACGTTTGTTAATATCACTTTTCACAGCAGCAGACTTGTTAGATAGCAGGGAGGCAGTGAAAGTGATATTGACAAATATTCAAATATCACTTTTCACAGCAGACTTACTCAGCCCTGGCAAGCTGGGGCACAAATTAAGCCTTGGATGAGGAGGTGAGTAGGGAGGCAGCAGGGGCGATGAGGGGGGGTGATAAGCTTGGGGATAGAGTCTTGCAGCCGGGGGATGGAGCCTGCCGCAGTGCAGCCAAAGCCTGGAGCTCAAAGCCCCACAGTCAGAGCAAGTGGCAGGAGCCCACTGCTGCGGAGCTGGACCCTGCCATCCGCCACCCCAGCGCTGAAGCCAGAAGCCTGAGTCCCACCTCCCCCGGGAAGGTGGGGAATTCACACTGGCTGTCTGCTCCTCCAATGCTTGTGGCTCCAGAGGAGGCCAGGGCCCATCCCCTCCTGGCAGCCCCAGAGGAGGGACTGCTGCTTTGCCCCTTCCCCCAGTCACTACCCAAGAAAAGCCCCTGGCAGCCGAAACGCTGACCTAGACCCCGTGTTTGTAACCAGGGAAACTTCCTTTTAACCTGCTTGGGATAGCTCTGGCCTACCCTGTCTCCTATTGCCTGGGCGGTAGCCCCTCTTGTCTGCTGCAATACAAATAGTAAAGAAGAAGCATCGCCCCATGACTGAGAGCAGCTAACAAAGTCAGTGAAGTACCTTGTTTTCACCTTCTTTTACAGCCAGCATCAGATCATCTTTGATCCCTTTCTGGCAGTGCTCACACGTGCAGCGAAAATAGTACTGCTTCTGGAGCTGCTGCCTCCGCTCTTCGCTGACGTTGAGGAAATCAACATAGGAGACAGTCAGCTCTTCCCCCGGTGAGACTTTGCCCAGCGCACGCAGCTCGATTCTGGTGTCAGACAAGAAGAGATGTGGAATTAGACAGTGACATCTCAAGTCCAGGACACTGTTTGTAAAACTGAAAGGGACAATTTCCACTAAAGATCCTGCCTCCGGTAGGCAAACTGTTGTCTTAAAGAACCACTTGAACCCTTCGAATGCTGAAGAAAATACACAGCTGTGCAGCACTTCAGCTATTCTAACACCCACTACAAAACGCCTCGTCCAAACCCTTCGCCGCCTCTTGCCCCTCCCTCTGTCCCAACCAGAAGTTCACTTGAAAGTAGTAAATGAACTGTGATCTTCAGATCTGGATCTGCTTATATAGTTTGGGGCTGAATCTAAGATACAAACTTTTATTATGTTTAAGGGGAGCTGGATGTGCGTCTTTGGTTCCGGGCCATTGATGTGTCCCAGTTTACTGATGAATCTCCTCAGATGAAGGCACCGATGCTTGATAGTACACGGCTACCACTGAAATTAGCCTTTCTGATCCTGTCTGCCCCATGTGAATATTCACAAAGCATTGACTAAACTGCCTCCCCACCCCACCCCACCCTGGCCAAACTGGACTCAGTGTAAAACTTGGGGTGGATCCCTGAAAGGTGGGAGACTCTTTGTTTTTTCCAAAGCCCTGGATCAGGAATCTGAAAGTGACTTCTCCACGTCGCTTCACCCATCTCTACTCAAAGATTTGGCAAACCCTTCAGTGAAGATGGCCATGCTTCAAATGTACAGTGAGGCCAATCCCGCATGGGCTTCAGGTTTCCTAACAAAACTGTCCCATGTCTCTAACTGCCAGCGTGTTACTATTGTCTTCACTGACCATTCAGAAAATACCAATTGCTACTACAGTACTGTGGTGAAAGCTGTGGGACGATGCCAGACCACCCCCTTAAAGAGCCAGTACTTTGCATCATCATTTCATCCCCTACCATGTGTTTAAAAGACCCGGGATACTCAAAAGTCCACCATAGTTTGTTTCACTGGAGCAGGCCAAATTCTCCTCTGCTTTACACTGGTACAAACCCCACTGAAGTTAACAGGCTGCATTGGTGTGAGTGAGAGGAGAATTTAGCCCAGCTGTGGGGTTACTATCTAAGGTGGGGAAAGCTCCACCAAGTGACTGTAAATAAGGCCCTTGGAGATGGTTAAAAGTACTAGGTTGTTTATATATATATATATCTCCTTTATTCTACCCTTTTTGACCCTTCTCCCCATCCACCTATTACAACTCTGGCCATCCTTAGCACTAGATCACTACATTTTTGGGAACAGAGCCCCAGTTAGCAAGCAAAATGTATTTGTGCATAGCTAAGCATGCTTACATATCAGCAAGATGGAGCTAGTCCAGTGACCGGATCTACAGTACATTTTACCCTGTTTTAATCTATCGCCATGCTCCCAATCCTGCTCTGACTCAGCTGGTTAGTTGCATGACCCATCAAGGGCTGCGTACCTCTCTACGAGGCCTGGGGATCTGTAGCGAATGAAGTCTATTCTTCAGCAAATCATGTCCAGAGAACCCCCAGCTGCCAGAGCAGGATAAAGCACTATCGGGAGTGTTCACTGCCTTGAGAGCAGCCGTAATTAAATTAGTTTGTAAACGGCAGAGCTAAATGGAGCAGCACACCAAACCTGAGCGGGAGGAAGGTGGGGCCGTGGGAACTGAAACAATTCAAACAATTATCCTCTTTTAGTAAAGATTTGAGCCTGCTCCTATTGAAGTCAATAGCAAAATTCCCACTGACTTCAGTAGAACAGGGTAGGTCATATGAGAACTCCTCGCTTTCATTTAAACAGTGGCACCTAAGGCAAATACAGCCAAAAGCATACCTGGAGAATTTTCAAGGGATGGAGCAAATCTACTTCAGTGATTTTCATTACTGCATTTTTCCAAGAAGATGAAGATTTGCAGAGGATAACTATGTTTGACCATAACTATGCAGGGATTGCCATCTTGAATCTCTCAGCCATAAAATTCTAGGGCTGCTACCTAAGTTACTCATCCTGTGAAGCTGGCCCTGACCACCTGTTGGCATTAGATTATATCAGCAGGCTCCTTCAGACTAGACTCACCACTGAACATGCCGTCAAAAAGGACAGCTATTAGTTATGTCACGAGAAAGTACTACATATACATAGAGTAAGATGCAACCAGCTGTGAGTCTAAGGAGAAAAATGCATCAGGTACAGTATCCATGGTGAAGGTTTACATATATGCACATCCCTTTTCAGACTTAGTGGGGCCTTATCTAGGGCCTTTCATAAACTTAGAGAAACAAAATCAAGCTTTTGAACTCTGATGGTGCTTTGGTAGCCCAAGCACAGTAGAGGTTTAGATATTTTTAACCAGCCAGCCGTACCATAGAAGGAACTGGCAACATTTTAGGGGAAAAAAGAAATACAAGGAATTGTTTGGAACTATACAGTTACAGGGACACTGTCTGCTTGATAAGGGCTCAAAACAAGGTTTTTACAAGACTTTAAGATCAACAAAACTGCTCCCATGACCTTCCCTTCTTCCGCCAAAATTCCAATGAACTTGCAGTGTTTATACCTGGAGCATTGCCCTAGTGTGCTGACACAAAACAGCCAGAAAGTGAAGTTGACCAGATATAATGTCTGTAAACAAACATGAAACTCACTAGTCTATTTTCATGGAAATACATTGAGGACACAAACAACATTAATGGTGAAAATCATTTTAAAATATTTCAGTTCTAATTTATGACAATGCATTGCCTGCTTGTTTTGCATGCAGATCCTATTGAATCCAATGGAGCTATGCTGGTTTACATATGTTGAGACTCTGGATCCTATATGTTAAGACCAAGGCTTTGGAGCAGAGCCCGCGGAGCAGCTCCAGAGCAGTGGAGCTGCAGGTTTTTGCCTGGAGCTGGAGCGGAGCCGGAGCACAGCTCCAAAGCCCTGGTTAAGACAACAGTGTCCCTTTAAACTAAACAGATTGCAATATATCAAGTGCAATGAGGTAACCAGAGAATTTAAAAAAACGAAATACACCTTTAAAAATCCTTTTAAAACACCACACAGAAAAATATTTTGAACAGCTAACAGTGGCATCATAAAAAGGCATAACAAGAACAACTGTAAAGGTAAAAATGGATGACATCTAAATCTCAGTGTGTTGCCACTGTAATCAGTGCATCCAGAGGGAACTCTTTGTTACAAAGAAACACAGAGTATTTAGTTTGTCAGTAATGCAATCACTTCTCATCTCATAATAAACCAGGTTTTATTGCAATTATTTGGGGCTGGGCAAGGTTAGCGAGGCCTTGTTGGACTTTCATGCCCTTGCTGTAGTTGAGAGAACAGGAGTGAAGAGTGCAGAAGGCAAATACAGAAGGAGGGCAGGGGAAGGAAGGAATGAGGAGACAGAGAGGGCATTAACAAGTGGCAGGTCTAAGCATACTGAATAATGTCAGCTTTTATTTTAATCTACTACAAAATGCAGAGGTTACAAAGCGAGGCTTCGGGTTTAGTGGGGCTTTACACATGGGGGTGAAAAAACATTTACATTCCGACAGTGGGAAGAGTGAAACTATTCACAAATGGAGGCAACTTCAAGCCTCATCATTGTCACTTATGGCTTTTAGTTAACACAGGGTCAGAGGGGAAGGTCAAAGGGGAAGGATTATGCTTACAACACCAACCCACCTCATCTGTGTGTGGAACATTGATCTTACAGCCTCATGACTGAAAGACAAAACAAACATCTGCAGTTTACACAGGTACACGTACGACACAAGCAAAATGGAATCAGCACATACAGTATATGGCACATTCGTTGCTCACGATCCGGGGGACATACAGAGGCCCCAGAGACAGACAGTTGCAGGGTGGAGTCTGAAGTGATGTAGCTCTCTGCTGTCACTATACAGCAGCTGTAACCAAATCGGCCATCGGTGGCCCGGGTAGGTTGACCGGACATCAGGACTGTCCTGATTTTTAGTTCTTTGTCTCGCGTCCCGACTGATGCAAAGTCGGGACGCCATTTGTCCCGATATTGCGGCTTTGGCTGCTCCAGCTGCCTTTTTTTTTTTTTTTGCTCCCCCCATGCGTCTCTATATTTTGTCCATTTCATCTGGTCACCCTAGGCCCAGGGCAATTTCAGCTGGCAGCTGTCCTGGCACTGTGACTTAAGGAGCATTCTGCACAAGAGTGCATGTGAGTGTCAAGGGGAAATCAGCTCTGTTTGCAGTTAGTTTAGCCACCGACAGGTGTTATCTGCAAGGAACTGGGCATATATGGATAACCTGGATGAGAGAGACTCATGTTTTGCTACATTATGAAAAGAATGGATCTGATTTTTTTTCCATAAATCATGAATCACTCCATTGACACCAATAGATATGCACTGGCTTAAAACCAGCATGAAAGGAAAATCAGCCCCAGTTATTAGAAACATAGAAATGATCATATCTGATCAGCCTCATTAAAAATAATGGCAAAATACCCATTGACTTTCATGGGAGCAGGCCCCATTACCTATTTCGGGTTTCAGAGGAAGACAAGAAACTGCCATAATGCACCTGGCCAATTGCAAGAGGGGTGGAGAGTGTCTTTCCTGACTCCCGCAAGTGGTCAGCAGATGTCCTGAACATGATATTTGTTCACGTGTTTACCCACTTTGCAAGTCTTGGTAAATTCATTGCGGGGGGAAACTGTGCATAGAGATCTGGAGAATACCAGTGTCTGGGACATTTTCTTTGAGAGGGGATTTGGGAGAGCAGTAACTAACCAGATAATATATCATCTGGAAAGTCATGATTTAAACCATCTTAAATGTATGACTTTTCATGGAGAAAAACCCTCCACATTTTCCAGGGAAGTTAATTCTGAAACTCAGGTGAAGCTGCCAGCTGTAGTGCCCTTGATTTGCCATATGAACACTGGTTTCCTAAGCATTGAACTGAGACCTCCAACTCACTCCGCACAGGGCCCTGGACATTTAGAACTAAAATAGTAATAGGCCTCAGGACACATGAGAAACAGCAATGTTCAAAGCAAAGGAGCAGATTCTAAGCTCAGACATGTGGTGGGCGTTGATGTGTGTGTCTATGTAACGGATTGCCAGTGTGCTCGCACATTTTGGAGCAACTCCTTCCTCAGCACAGCCCAGAGTATGGGAGCCCAGGAGACCTTGTCTGCGGCAGAACCTCACTTATGCCACAATACAGAGGGGCAGGCTCTGGTGAGCCCATGGGGCAAGTGCACTTCCCCTGTGCCTTGCAGAGGCCAGCTCCAGAAGGAGTCCTTGCCCATGGCTGCACAGTCAGCATTTTGGATCAGGGTGAGGGGATCAGTTGTCACATGGATTCTTGGGCCATCCCTCCGAATGGAGAGGGATGTATGGAAGCTGGTCCTACACCTGTGGCTGGAGTAGCAAGCGTAGAGACGCTCCACTGCCATCCTGGGGGCAGAGAGGAAAAGTTCCTGCAGCCCAGGCCCTAGGTAGATCTGCAGCGTGCAGCCCAGGTCTCTGCAGCCGTGTCATGTGGCAATGGCATATAATCACAGAAGGAGTCACTTTCTTGAACAAGGACATTTATTAGGAGCAGGGAAACAGTGTTGTCCTGAAATCTACTCTTTCTTTGTTTCCCTGGAGAGTGTCTGCCTCAGAACATCCCCAGCCCTCTTCCTGCCACAGATTTAAGAAACAATGTATGTACCCTCATTCATGGGGGAGTATGTGGGGTATATGCACAGTAGTGGAGTCCTAAAGAAATAAGCCAGTGTTTGCCACGCATATGAGATGAGAATGGAGCTCAAAATGGTCTCCACCTTTTGAAGGCAAACACTTGACATGACAGATAGCACTATAAGTAACCCAGGCCTGGTGTGCAGTGCCTATTGAAAGTGAACTGAAATGCCTTTTTAAAAAAATAACCAAATGGTTTAAATTCAGTAACAGAATGTGTCTACGGGCATACAAACTTAAAATAAACATACTGCCAAATAAACAAAACTATCAATAACTCCCCTACATAGCTGCCAAAGAGCCAAGATCAGATGTGAGAGCTGTTGACCTCACTACTTCACTATCTATCTAGGTTCTTATACAGTCCCATCGCCATGACATAGGTCTGATCCAAAGCCCACTGAAATCAATTAAAAGACTCCCATTGACATGAGAGTCTTTGGATCAGGCCCTATCTCCCCAAATCTAACAGTTACAAAGCAGTTTCCTGCTCTTTTCTCATTCCCCACTGGTGGGCGTAGAAGCTTGAATGGTCGGTAGATGCTGCGAGGGTTTCAATCCGATTCCTGGCACCCCTTAAGCTCCCTGTTTTGGTGCACGAGGAAGATAATTAAGAGGACACTGTTGGGTTGATTTAGGCCCAACATTTAGTTTTTGTGAGAACAAGATGTGACAAACCCTACAAACGATACAGATGTTCTGAGGTTTTCTTATTTTAATTAAAGTGACAGCAGTTTTTGCTCAGATTTATACACTGTGTACCAGATCCCCAGCTAGTGTAACTTAGCATAAGTCAGTGTAAGTCAGTGGAGCAATGCCCATTCACACCAGCTGAGGATCTGGCCTTCCTTGTATGTTAAAATCTGCGGGCATGATCCCAAGAGGTTTCTGAACACACACACACACACACCCCTTTGACTTGGCTGGACAAATGTTCTGGCAGCTGGCAACCTACCAGCCCTGTCCAACTGGTCTGCTGGTGCTGTGTTTTCCACTGTAACTTGCACAATCCCTTTCAGCCTCAGCTGTTATCTTTAAGTAACCTCAGGAGGAATTGTGGGTGCTCAGCACCATATTTGCATGGGGGTCTCAGCTCACATACGTCAGTCACAATTTATATTAAGGTTCCATTTATAAATGGTTTATTAAGGGTTAATAAATGATTACTAGATATTATAAGCATGCCAGCCACATGAGTATGCTGTGTTATAGATGGTTGTAAACTCATCAAGGTATTATAAGTGGTTACAAGCCACAGTTCTAAGCAACCTATTGACCTGGACTCTTATAACAATTGCTTTACCATAATCATCCATTAACTGTAAATTATTTCTAAGTGGAACCTTAATATAAAGTGTAACCCATATGTCTTGTTACTATTTTACTCCATTTGAGTGTTATGAGCCTGATCCAAAGCCCACTAAAATCAATTGAAACACTGGCTTCAATGGGTTTGGACCAAGCCTTCTAGGTGTCTTTTGCGTATTTGTTTTGTGCACCAAAAAACAATAAGAACAAGAACAACAACAACAAAAGACAGGAAAAGCAGCAGCTCGCCACTAAGGGGTTTGGCTTTCCTGCGTCTAATATTTTGTTTTCCACAAACAAGCCAAAAAAAGAGGAAACCAAGGGACTTTCTCCCTAGGTGCACAATGCGAGGCTTGGAACCAACTCTGGGAAATGAGTCAAGCATTGGGGCCGACGTCTCCCCCCTGTCCCTTAGAATGGAAATGTACTCACTTGCCGTTGTTGAATATGACAGTGCAATTAGGCCAGCAGTCATGGTTCACCAGGCAGAGATTGGGGAAGACGCCCACGCCAACAGCCTGCAGTCCCCTTTGGTCACTCAGGGTGAAGCCATTGCAGTTTATCTAGGCCGCAAAACATAGGCAAAAAAAGTGTTAGTGGAGGAGAATAATGGTGAAATCTTGGCCTTATTGAATTCAACGGGTGTTTTGCCATTGACTTCACTGAGGCCCAGATAGCACCCTAGATTTTAGAATACTTTCCACTGATTCTTCATAAAATGTATATTTTCTGTGCTCTAGGCATAGGGGCGTGGTCTTCAAATTTTGGGAACAAGGGAGAGATACACACACCGAGTGCTAGAAACAGCATCCTTTAGCCTGGACAAAGCAAGAGAAAGTTCACAATGCAGAACTCTAGCAGATAGACTGCATGATCTAATGAGCAGAGCAGAGCAAATATTGCAAAACACTGTCTGCTAATATTTATTCCCATTTTTAAATGTTGTTGCTTTGAGCGTGTTCAAGCCCCTTTTGTGTTCACTTTTTGCAAATATTCCAGCAAACAAGTCTCATGGGGAAAGGGACTTTTAAGCAATTTGTGCAGAATAGTCACAGGAAGCAAATTCCAAATTTGTGAGAGTACCTGTGTCAACCTAATTCTACATGCCACCCTCACCCAATCTGAGAACACGTGACCTATGCATCCAAATAAAAATAACACCATTTGTAATGGCTTTCGCCTATCGCATCCTGGCAACTCCCAAATGACCAACAAACTGAGAACTATTTGCAGTCATTATTCAGGGACTAATTTCAGTAACAAAAAACATAGACGTTCCTGTCAACTGCTAGAAATGGCCCACCTTGATTATCACTACAAAAGGTTTTCTTCCCCGTGTCCACCCACTCTCCCACTCCCGCTCTCTTGCTGGTATTAGCTCATCTTAAGTGATCACTCTCCTTACAGTGTGTATGATAACACCCATTGTTTCATGTCCTCTGTGTATATAAATCTCCCCACTGTATTTTCCACTGAATGCATCCGACGAAGCGAGCTGTAGCTCATGAAAGCTTATGCTCAAATAAATTGGTTAGTCTATAAGGTGCCACAAGTCCTCCTTTTCTTTTTGCGAATACAGACTAACACGGCCGCTACTCTGAAACCAAAAAAAACATAAGGTGTTCTCAGACAATTCAGAGACAGAAAAGGAGCGGAAATCTGTCAAATGAACTGTTCACTAGGAAATAATTCACTCAACTACAATCTGTTTTATTTCCTTTCCTGGCCTCCCTGACCCTATCCTCCAGCCAAGGACTAGCAGAGCATAGTCTAGCAGTTAGCAGAGGTGAGAGCGAGTCTGGACTCTGTAATTCCTGGCTCTGCCACTGACCCATTGGACACGTTCCCTCTGCTGGAGCAGCACAGAGGGAGCAGAGACTGGCTGCATCCCCCTAGCTGGGGATTCCCCCAGCAGGCTGAGAGTCAGCATAGCCAATTCCTATGCAACCCTCCCATCAGCCCCTGGTGCAGGGAGAAGGAATCACTGGAGCACACTCTATGCATCTAGCCTCAGCTGGCGATGGTTCTTTGGGACTGTTGCCCACTGGTGTATGTTACAGCATCCTCATGTCAACTCTCACCAGTACCAGGGCCAGACAGAGAATCAGAGCCATAACTGGTTCACTGAGGCCCACAGGCACCGACTTTCTCATTTCCACGGGTCTGCTCGACCCCTGCTCCGCCCCAGGTCCTGCCCCCACTCCAACCCTTCCCCCAAGGCCCCACCCCGCCCCGCCTCTTCCTGTCCCTACCCCACTGCCACCCCGCCTCTTCCCACCCCTGATAGGTCCCCAGCCCACCCTGCCTCTTCCCACCCCCACTCTGCCACCACCCCACCCCCTTCTGCCTCCTCCTTGGAGTGCGCTCCTCCCTTGCTCTGCCCCCTCCCTCCCAGTGCCTCCTGCCCGCTGCTGAACAACTGATCCGTGGCAGGTGGGAGGTGCTGGCAGGGAGGGAGAGGAGTTGATCGACAGGGCCACCGGTGGGTGCTGAGCACCCACTGTTTTTTTCCTTGGGTGATCCAGCCCCGGAGCACCCACAGTGTCAGCACCTATGCTGAGGCCTCCCTCTCTGCTACACCAAGCAGAGCACAGTTTACCACTGGGCAAGTCACTTGGACTCTCTGCGCCTCAATTCCCCATTTACGAATGAGGAACTGAGGCAAAGAGAGACTAAATGACTTGCTCCAGGTCACATAGGAATTCTGGTATTGGGGGAAGCTCCTCACTGTTTGTAAAGGGTCTGGAGAGCCTCTGGTAAAAAGAGCAAACTACTTTACTGGGAAATGGTGTTCTGACCACACCTAACAGCTTATGCATATGCATGAGGGTTTCAACCCTCTTTTCCTTATCTATACATCCACACCCTGTGAATACTGGGGTGGCCCGTTTTACATAGGTTGTTTCTTAGTTCCTCTTATTCTCATAGCAGCTACACATAACATGGACTCTGCAGTCAGGACAGGACATTCCATGATATTACAATCAGGTGTCTCATGATCTTGGTCAACAACTTGCAGTTTATTGCCATCTAGGTTTCCATAATGTTAACTATTGGCACATCTTTTTCAGTAATCTTGTGACCTTACTGACATAGGATTATTCCTAGGTCATCCACTCATGTCAAGTGTTCTTAAGTCTATGGCCTAGTTTGGCTAAACAAAAATCTTACAGGCCTCAACCTGTAGGCCTTGCATTCCAGCCATGCTTTACTTATGTATCTAATACACACTCATCACTCCTAAATACTTGTCAACCTTATACTTCTATAATACTACAATTTAAATCTATTTAACATACACTGATTATATATGCAATAGCATATGCATTGACCAGAGCACCACATAGCACAATGATAAATGGATGATAAAATGAACTAATTGGTTACAGGAGTCAATGGCAGAAGGCTCATTTTCAACCTTCTTTGTGAACTCAGCATAGCCCTTGTCCTTGAGCATTATAAATAGCTCTCACTTTGTTCTCCCGGGAGGCTGACATACCACTCCGAATATATGAGAGATGTACTGCATGCCAAACTGCTGACTCTGTGGGGGCCAGAAGTTGAGGAAACTCTCCACGTCGGCCCTCAGCTCTTTCTTCTCCTCTTCTCCAAAGTTCTCCACATGGTTTTGCAAGTCGTCGATGGAGACCAAGCAGCCCTCCGTAAGGCCACCTCCCTCTCTCTCTATCCTCCACATGATGCGGGCTGCCAGCCTGGCCAATACAGAAGCATGTTAGGAAACTCCAATGTGCTTGTGCAATCCACAGACAATCAAACCCAGGCCCAGCAAGGCGGCAGGAGGCATCACACTGCACTAGGGCAAAGCAGGGGTAGGATTTGGCCTTGATGATTCTCATCTGGAATTAGTTCAATCAATGGCTCCTGGCTCCCTTCGCAGGTAGCTACCAATATAACTGAACATGGCCTTCAAAGCACCGAAGGAAAACAATGCAGAGTCTTAAAGCAGAACAGTGATGAAACTTTTCTGTTATTCATGTCCTCTCTCTAGTTGTGTAAAGCACGAAACTTTTAAACCAGGGAGTTCAGTAATTTTTTCATTTTTAAAATATGGTATGAAATGTATCAACTTGTGACTATAGTTACTGTGCTCACCTGGCCCTCATCACCTGGGTATCTGAGCACCTCACACTGTTTAATGTATACATCCTCCAAGGGTAGGGAGTGGGTGCTACTACCCCCATTTTACAGATGGGGAACTGAAACAGACAAAGTGACTTGTCCAAGATCACAGAGAAAGTCCAGGGCAGAGCAAGGAATTGAACCTGGGTCGCCAGCTCTCACTCTAACCATTAGTCAATCCTTCCTCTACAGAGTCATTAAGCTGAGAAATGGCACCTTCTTATTCACCACACCCACTCTCCACTCTATGTGTATCCTCTGGGACTCCAGCACCACCCCGGCAGCATGGAAGGCCTGACAGAACTCTCACAGCTAGTGGCTGCCTAGTGGACCCCCCATGAAGGGGAATCCCCCTGTGGAGTGGAGCCATCGAAGGATAATACACCCTAAGCTCCACAGGCCCCGTGGGTGGACGATGTGCAGAGTGCAACTGTTAACAAGTTAGTTTAAAAGTGGCAATGCAGTCTCCATCCTTCCTCTGCTTGTCCTGCAGGCTGAACACCCACACTGGTGGTTGGCAACACACACTCCAATGCCAGCGCCGTCTGAGTGATTGCTAACCCCTGGAGCTATGTTTGCCACTAGCTAACAATACCTTTCAGTCTCATGTATCACAAAGGTTTATTTTTATACAGAGGCTATTAATAGCTAGCCTGATAAGTGAAGAAACTCTACAGTGAGGCAAAGACTAAACGCAGGGAAAGCAGGTGGCAATTCCATGTCCTAGCGAAAGCCAACCTGCCTTTTAACTTCATATTTTAAGGGGAGATTAACTTCCTTCATTGTAGAGATGTTTGTTATTTTCTGGATGGTGAGAGCTGTCAACTTTGCTGTTGGAAGGAACGGCTTTTAGACATACCTTCCTTAGGGCTACCAGCAGATTCCCCAATTTATTTGGAGTGGGCAAGTGAAAGGCCAAAGCTATTCCCAGATCCCCTCACCGCTCTAAGCTGTCTGTCCCCCCAGCTCCAAATATTCAGTAGCTTCCCAAGCAATGAATGGATTTTCCTCTCCTCTGCTGTGTTATTTATACAGGGCTGGAAGCATACACAGCACTGTTCAGTAGGTGTTTGGGGTTGGACAAATAACAGTTCCTTGCCCCAAAGAGCATGTATGGGTACAACAGTGTGACACAATACAAAACAAACACAGAGTGGCATACGGTCAGGGTCAGATGGTACTACAGGTCCATCTCCCAAGAGGCCCTAGGCCTCAGAGGCCCCCAAAACCCTTCCAAGCAACGGCAGATCACACGCAGAGTCCAGGGCCCAACAGAACTTCAAGCCCCAGTTCCATCGCGGGAGGCCCGACTGCTGGAGAAAAGTGAGGACAGGGATTCAGTTGGGGTCAGGCTGGACTCAGCTGCCCAGTGTTTGAATACAGTGTGCTTCTGTGACAGCCACCCTCTTAGCCAACACACCGGGGGCCTCCACAGCTTCAAGCACGAACTGATACAGTTTGAGCTAGAGCCCAGCTCCCAAGCTGGGGGCTGTAACAACTCATATCCTCCTTGAATTAGTGGGTTATACTACAGCGCTACGTTACCCGAGGCACTCTGTAAGGCCCAGCATGTTTACGTGCTGAATTCAAACACCCAGGGCAGCAAATGGCAGGTGGGCAGTGCATGGGGCAAGCCAAGAACTGAGTCACAGCAGAGGTGTTTCCAACTTCAGCGGGGAAGGGAGAAAAGGGACTCTCCCCATACTATCCCTCTGGGTGATGCAGTACACAGAGCATAACCCCTTCCCAGAGCATCTTCAGAAACCCCTTCTGGTGGTGAAACACTGGAATGCGTTACCTAGGGAGGTGGTAGAATCTCCTTCCTTAGAAGTTTTTAAGGTCAGGCTTGACAAAGCCCTGGCTGGGATGATTTAACTGGGAATTGGTCCTGCTTCGAGCAGGGGGTTGGACTAGATGACCTTCTGGGGTCCCTTCCAACCCTGATATTCTATGGTTCTGTCTCCTTTCCTTGGTGGCCCTCGCCTGCTGGCTGAAATACTGTGTGCGGTCAGTACAGCATGATGCAATGCAAAGCACACTCAGCCATGTGCATCTCTGAGGGCCCAACTCCTTCTAGGGACGAGTGAGGAAATGGTCTGAGAGGGGAAGGAGGCTGACTAATTCTTTGTTTTGCATTCTCCTCCGCTGTGTATTGTAGACGGACCTTTAGCTGCCAATGATCCTCACCATGCTGCATGCCACAGCCATTCAGACCTTCACAGAGAGAGCAGGGATGGAGATTGTAAGTCCCTTGGGGCAGGGACGGTCTATGTTTGTACAGTGCCTAGCACAATGGGGTTCTGGTCCAGGATGAGGGCTTCTAGGTGCTCGCACGATACAAATAATAAATAATAATAACTCTGATCTGCCTGCTCCAAAAATCACAGGCCCCTATCACTTGAGCTAAAAGGGAATTTCCTATTGCTCTATCTAGTGTAGAATCTAGGACACACAAGTGAGCAGTTCTGATTCCATACATTAGAGCAGTGCTCACCAACTGGTCGACTGGTCAATCCTCGAGACTCTCCCAGTAGATCGCAATCTCCAGTGGTGCAGCGGGGCTGCCCACTGCCGCTAAGGCAAGTTCCCTGCCTGCCCTGGCCCCACGCCCCCTCAGCCCCAGGGAGCAGGGGTCTCCGCACACTGTCCTGCCTGCAAGCACAGCCCCTGCAGCTCCCATTGGCGGGAATGGGGAACTGTGCAGGGGTGGTGCCTGCAGAGAGGGGCAGTGCGCAGAGCCACGTGCCCCCTGCCCGCCCGCCCGCCCACCCAGGGACTGCAGGGGCGCGTTGGCCCTTCCAGGAGCAGCATGGAGCCAAGGCAGGCATGGAGCCTGCCTTAGCCTTGCTGCACCTCCGCCCGGGAGCCACCCGAGGTAAGTGCCGCCTGGCGGGAGGCCGCACCCCAACCCCCAGCCCTGAGCCCCCTCCCAGAGCCAGCACCCCAAACCCCCTCCTGAACCCCAACCCCCTGCCCCAGCCCTAACCCCCTTCCAGAGCCCACACCCCAAACCCCCTCCTGAACCCCAACACTCTGCCGCAGCCCAGAGCCCCCTCCTACACCCCAACTCCCTGCCCCAGGCTCTGCCCAGAGCCCCCTCCCACACTGCGAACGCCTCGGCCACAGCCCAGAGCTCACACCCCCTCCTGAACCCCAACCCTCTGCCCCAGCCCGGTGAAAGTGAGTGAGGGTGGTGGAGAGTGAGAGATGGGGTGGGGGGTGGAGTGAGCGGGGTGCAGCTTTGGGGAAGGGGTGGAACCTCAGGGAAGGGAGCAGGGTAGATCCTGGGTTACCCTTAAATTCAAAAAGTGATCTTGGGTAAAAAGGTTGGAGACCACTGCTCTAAAGGGCAGTGGTGCACACACTCACCAATTCACAGCCATATTTTATATACTACATTACGCTATTTCCCCTAGTCTTTGAAACGTTCTTGTGGCTTCCCGTCACCCAGGACTTTCACAAATAAATCACTGACCTTGGGATTTGGCCTCCAGGATTCAGACAGGAATCAAAATCAGTGTGTCCAGTTGGACACAAGTGAAATTTCTGCTTGGATCTCTCTCCACATTTCCTCACCTGACCAAACCATTCAGGCTGGGTTTGGCTTGGTAGGCTCTGCTAAGAGAGATGCTTTGGGAGCAGATGCAGCCTATCCTGCTGACCAATCTTGTCTCACTGTTTCCTTGCGCTCTCCAGTTGGTCTGCCTGTATCTCCCTGTTGTTCCTTGCCTCATACTTCGATTGTAAGCTCTTAGGGGTGGGGTCCTGGTCCGTGACTAAGGGTGCTAGGAACCACAGTGATACAAATAATAGCAAGACACAGAAAGGTAGGGACTTGGTAGGCAGAGGATGGAGTGACACCCTGTAAGTCTGTTTTAACCTTTTGTGGGCTTGGCACCAAACATATTTGAGGGCCCCCATGGAGTGGGAAGGGGCTCAGTCCCTTTAGTGAGGCAGGGGCTGGGAGCAAGCACTGTGGGACAGAAGGAGGGGTCTGTCCCCAGAATGAGGAAGGGGCCGGGGACATGCATAGCAGGGCTGGGAGGGGGGGAGAGACAGGATCCCCCCAGAGTGGCGCAGAGCCGGTACCGACTTCTCTCCACCAGAGCCGGGTTCTTGGGAGCCAATTCTCTCTCTCCAGCTGAGCTGCAGCTCCTCCAAGCAGCAGCAGCTGCTCTTCCTGCCCTCCTGGCGGGGAGGCTGATTGAGGCTGATTGTGGTTACTCCTGTAACCGAACTTTTAGTGTCCAGTCAGCACTGCTGACTGGACGCTACCAGGTCTGCTTTTTGACTGGACTTTCCAGTCGAAAACCGGACACCTGGCAACAGGGGCGCTGGAACAGGGGCATCAGGGGTCACCTTTAAAAGTGGGAAGCAATGCCCTCCCACTTTTTCCCTACCTTAAGGGCAAGCGACAGATAGGGAAGGGTGGAGAGGAGCGAGCGGCAAGCAGGGCCTCGGGGAAGAGGCAGAATGGGAGTGGGAAGAGGCGGAGCAAAGGCAGGGCCTTGGGAAGAGGCTGAATGGGGATGAGGCCTTGGAGCGAAGCACAGGCAGGGCCTTGGGGGGAAGGGTGGAGCCGGTGGGGGGGCAGGGTCACAGTCCAGGCACCGGTGCCCCCCCACACACACACTTCTAGGGAGCTTCCAGCACTGCTGCCTGGCAAACATATGAGTGTGGGCCCAGCACGATGGAGCCATTGTTGCCATTGTAAACCTGGTACTGGTTTTGGCCTAGGGCTATGATCCTTGGGCTCTTCCTAGCTCTTTGTCACCAGCTCTTTGTGGAGGCATCACTCCTGCCTAGATCTGATTTAGGCTCTATCTTGATTTCCAAACCATAGAAGGGAAGGCCCCTCTCAAGCCTACATTCTTCAGGCCTACTCAAGAACCAGACCAAAATCAACACTCTCGCCCTCTCACCTGATGTTTTCATTGGGCGCTTTCCCATGCGCCTTGATGGCAGAGCACTCATGTTTGTGGTTCAGCCACGCATCCCTCTGGCAGGTTCGATCACAGTAGTGGGCAAACTTACACTGACCACAGCGGTGGAGCTTCTCCTGCCTTTTAAAGCAGGTGTGGCAGACCAGGTGAGTAAGGCTAAAAAGACAAAAGGAGATGGCAGTCAGCACCCAGGAAAAGTCCATCGGATCCCAATCCAAACTTCCCAGCTGGTCCCTGGCTCCATGAAGATGTTCCCTGGGAGGATAGCCTAGGTCCCAACTGTGACGTTGCAGTCCATATGTTTTATGGAAATATGCTTATGAGTGTGAATATGATGTAACTGGAATATGCTTTATGCAAAAGGTCTCTTTTAAGGTATAATTATAAAGCTTATAACCTACTGAATATATTCATCCTATTTGTATGAATGTATCATTCTTGTATCTGAAACTAGGAATATGAAATATAACTCTGAGGTCCTATTGTAATTATGCAAAGGGTGGACCATTAATGGTGGTTTAGAATCTTGATGGCTCCCATTGACTAGGACAATTGGTTGTAAATGGTTTATTTACCTGCAAGCCTTCCTGTGTATGTGTGGGCCAGCCCATGGGTAATGAAGAATGAGGTTTTACAGTGACATGTGACCATGTCACATGACACCGGAATCCATCTTAAATCTGGTACTTTTCCATTTAGAAGGAGGGGTGGGGACCGAGAGAGACAAAAGATTCCCGCCTTGTGCCAAAGCTATTAAAGGGGGTGGAGCAGGACAAAGAATCCCAGTCATTAGAAAACCCCTGTTTACCACCTAAGATGTCTGCTGGAACTAACAAGTACTGGGGAAAGGATTGGGCCCTGACTAGGAAGGAGTCTAGTCTGTGAAATAAGCTTATTGGAACATCTCTGAGGGTGAGATATTACCTGAAATCAGTTTCTTAATGTATTAGGCTTAGACTTGCATGTTTTGTTTTATTTTGCTTGGTGACTTACTTTGTTCTGTCTGTTATTACTTGAAACCACTTAAATCCTACTTTTTATACTTAATAAAATCACTTTTGTTTATTAATATACCCAGAGTAATATTATATATATATATATATATATATATATATATATATATATATATATAAAATATACAGTATATAATACCTGAGGAAGCAAAAAACTGTGCATCTCTCTCTATCAGTGTTATAGAGGGCGGACAATTTATGAGTCTACCCTGTATAAGCTTTATACAGAGTAAAACAGATTTATTTGGGTTTTGGATCCCACTGGGAGCTGGGTGTCCGGGTGCTGGAGGTAGGTAACATGAGGAGCTGATTTTAGTTAAAGTCTGCAGCTTTGGGAGCATGGTCCAGACCCTGAGTCTGTGCTGCAGCAGGTTTGCATGTCTGGCTCAACAAGGCAGGGCTCTGGAGTCCCAAGCTGGCAGGAAAACGGGCTCAGAGTAATTTCAGCACATCAGGTGACAGTTCCAAGGGGGTCTCTGTGACCGAACCCATCACACCAACCCCATGAGGTCATCACACCCAATAAACTGAATAATACTGAGCAATATATTCCACATGCCTATCGGGAAGGAAGGATAAACATTTCAAGCAAAGTGCAGTTATTATCAATGTCTTTGCCAAGTGCTGTTGCCTCTTTCCTGGGCTATAAGTATGAAAGAGCTTTTTGTTTAAAAGAGGGAACAAATGGATGCATTCCCCAGTCCTCCAATCTTCCTGTCTTCAGCATATGCACTCCTGGTTCGTATCATCATTGCTAAAGGGACACTGTTTTCCCGGTAGGCTCTTGTTAAAACATTAGCTGCCTGTCCACTGAGAATTTCCTTCTAAAAATTCATTTAGTGAGTCTTTAGAGGGGTAGCCATGTTAGTCTGTATCAGCAAAAACAACGAGGAGTCCTTGTGGCACTTTAGAGATTAACAAATTTATTTGGGCATCGGCTATAGTCCATGAAAGCTTATGCCCAAATAAATTTGTTAATCTCTAAAGTGCCACAAGGACTCCTCGTTGTTTTAGTGAGTCTGTCACTCAGCAGAACCTCTTTACACTGGTGTAACTCAAGAGTAACTCCTTTGAATTCAACAGATTACACTGATTTCAAACCTGCGTGAGAACCCAGGTGCCAAGCTCTCTGTGGCTCCATGGGGGACATTTCTCACAGGCAAGAGAGAAGCCCTAATTTTCACCCCCTCTAGCCCCCATGCAATGGCAGGGGTGGGACAGGCAGGCCTAAATCCCTCAGTGCACTGGGAACAAAGAGGAGTGGGAGGCAGGAGGTGAGAACTCCCCCCTTCACCCTCTCCAACTCTCTCTGGAAGCAGGTAAAGACACTCACACACTCACCAATGTTCCCAAATTATTTTCCCCTGTGTGTCGAATGAAAAGCAGCCAAGCTGAGGGTTTAAAACCTAGGAGTGCTGCCCCAGCCAGTCCCCACCCCCCACTTATTTTCTCTCTCTTATTCCCTCTCCTTCCTCCCTCCCCACTGATTCACCCTCCCTCAGCCATGAATTCATGAAAGTGATTACTATGATTCTACAAGTCTCCCATAAGGGGCTGCTGCTAGCAAATCCATCTTGATAGACAGGAGTGCTTGCTCTGTCCACTGGGACATTTCTGCCACCTTCACACACCCCAGCAATACGTATCATGGGGCTCCCTGGCTCCCTCTCCAAAAGATAGTACCCAAAGGCCCCAGCCAGAGCTGTTCTGTCTCCCACAATAGTTGGGAGGGTCCTGATTTTCAGCACCCCCTTGGGGATACCAGTTTCTATCTCCCATTTTAATTGAGAGGTACGGTTGCCACCTCCAGTGCCTAATTTCTAATGAAAGAGGTACCTGGGCTCAAGCAGTTTTTTTACTTTCATAACTGACACGGGAAGCGCAGAGGAGCCAGGACTATGAGCTGCCAAGCCTAGAGGTGCCAGGGCTCAGCCCTGGCAAGCCCCAGCATAAATTAAGAACTGGTCACCTCTGAGGTACAAAAAAGGGGGACATCTGGGATGATCCTGGGACCATAAAATGGGACAGTGTTTACTGAGCATCCTCACAGATTTCTGAGGAGAGCTACCTCCAAAAAGGGGACAATACTGGGAAAAACCTGAACAGGTGGCAACTCTACTGGATGGGCTGAGACAGAGAACTTGCCTAGGGCATAAGCCGTCCGTAACCCACCCACCACCATAGACACATGGCAACAGCACTGGATAGCAATAAATCACCTAGAGATATTTGTAACTAGACGGCTAGTGTTGATATGCGCCACTGCCTTCTAATGGATGGCTACAGCTCTGCTTCACTGGTTAGGTATGTAAGCTGTCTCACAGAAATCAAAGGGGCCACTCATATGCTTAAAGTTAGCTCATGTACCTTGCTGAATTGGGGCCTGTCCGAGTAAAGTGCACACTCTTAGGACAATCCATGGGAACGGTACAGCTTGTTACCATATGACTGACTACCATTGTTTACAAAGCATTTACCATGTTCTCTCTGCAATTAATCCTTGTCACAACTGTAGCTCCCTCCATCTACCTGGCTAATGTTTACCGCGTCAATTTCCTTTCCCCTAAGAGCCTGTCTAACTCCTGGAAAAACAGGTTTGTGACTGTTAGGGTGCATTGCAGACATGATCCTTTGCATAAAGAAATATTAGGAGCCTGAGAGTTTCCAGCACACAGGTCAGATTGGGAAACAAGGAAAATGTCATAGAAACCTTACCGACTGTTCCACCTGAAACACAGCATATAACTTATGGTGTAGGAATAAGAAAAACAAATGCACTTTTTTAATCCAGTTCACCCTCGGTCTGGCAGGAACTGAAAACATGAAAGCACTAATTAAAAAAAAGTCTGTAATGTGAAGTGGGTATGGCACCAAATGGGTAAAACAGTAATGGCCTCTCTGCCATGATGCTGACAATAGGTAGAAATAGACATTGACCACAAGCTTAGGGACAGCTGGAGGAATGATCCAGTGGTTCAGGTCCTAGCCTGGGACTTTAGAGTTATGGGTTCAGTTCTCTGTCCTACGTGACCCTGGGTGAATCATCTAGGGTACATCTACGCTGCAGCCAGGTGCGTGATGGGCAATTACCTGCACTAGCTTCCATCTCGCTAGCTTGCTAAAAATAGCAGTGAGCATGCTGCAGCGTGAGCTGCACAAGCGAGCACATGTCTGGAGGAAGAGGAGGAGGGGGAGGATCAGCAGCTCACACCGCTGTGTCCTCACTACTACTTTCAGTGAGCTACTAGATTAAAGAAGTGTGGGTACCTGTATCCAAGCTGCTATTCACTGCCCTGGCTGCAGTGTAGATGTACCCTAAGAAGAGGTCTACACGGTAATCAGAGCACGCATGAACCGACCTGAGCTTGTTTTGATCTAGCTGCCAAACGACAATAGCAGGGAAGCTGCGGGTGTAGTGCCCTGCATCAAAGAGGTACTGTGAGGACAAATAAAGATATTAAAGGTTGTGAGGCACTCTCATTCTCCCACCCAGACAAAGAGGACTTTATGATGAAAAGTCACTTACACCAAAAATCACACCACATCAGGTTGCTCCCAGTCCCAAGAGATTGGTTACTTACCCTAGATCAATTGGTACTCCAGATTTTACACCAAAGATCTTACACTGGCAGCCAATTCTATAGTAAAACTAACTAAAGGTCTATTAGCTAAGGAAGTGAGAGTTATTGAGAGGTTATATTCACAGGTGAGTCATGGTTTGTCATTTCAAATGGTGGCAGTGATGTAATAAACTGCCAGTTTCCCAAATGTCTTTTGGGGTACCCCGATTATCTGTGGGGATCTCCAGTTTGCATCTAGTACATTTCTCTGTAAGAGTCTGAACAGTCCAGAGATCCTGCTTTGAATCCATACTTATAGTGTCTTCTCACAGAAAACAAGCTGACAGTGTCACTACCCACATGGGCTTTTCCTTTGAGGACAGAGAGTGAGGAACTCATTTAGAGTCTTTGACCTCCGATCAGGGCCGGTGCAACCACTAGGTGAACTAGGTGGTCGCCTAGGGCGCCAAGTGGTTGGGGGCGGCCAAAAGCACGCTCTGGGGAGGCGGTGGAGCAGAGGTGAGCTGGGGCAGGGGGGCGCGGGGAGGGCCACCTGCAGGAAGTAATGGGGGGGGGCGGCGCA